TCGACGAAAAACCATTGTGGTTGGATCCAAGCAGTTCGTCTACTCCAAAGACCTTACTTGCTGGCCGTTGAGATACCCTCTGGTTATTTAATATAGCCATGGAAGATGGCCCATAGAAATAGATGGTTTACCTATTAATAGCATGGTGATTTTCCATGGCAAACTGTTAGTCATAACCAGAGGGTAAATCCCACAATCCAAACCATCATCTGCCGAAAAATCCAACCATGTGTCGCCACTCGGATTCCGCGCAAATCGAAAGTCAGAAAATCACCTCCCAGATTTGGTCAGAAAAAATGCGAGGTGTGTCTCCTCCCATAGGAACTTGGTGTGTCTCAATTCCACCCTGAAAAATCATCATGTTTTCCCATGTTTTCCCTATAAAAATGATGATTTTGATTCATTTTGAGGGGTCAAGGCATCAGACCAACCCACTTGGAGATTTTCTTTCAGCACCAATTTCCTTCCCGGCCATTCCGGCCATTCCGGCCACTCGTGGCTCCAGCTGTGGCCGTACCCTGAGCAGACCCAGGCATTGCCTGGTTCAATGCATCGAATTTTCAGGGATGGCTATCAAAATATTGGATGATCATTGCATGATCATTGGATGATCATCGTATGATCATTGGATGATCAAGACTATTTTGAGTCAGTTCTCTGAAAATCATGTAAGAAGAAATGGTGAACGGATTTTCTTCGTACAGGTGTCCATGGGTTTCTTCGGTCTTTTTCTTGCGTAGCGACGTGGGAACGCGTTGAAGTTCCCGGCCAAGTCACTGCATGAGAGTTATTTGAGGAGCTCTCTCTCTCTCTGTCTGTATTCATGCATGTGTTTATATTATATATGTACATTATAGGTACAATACATAATCGTATATAATCATATATAATTATAAAATGTCATGTATATATAATATATACTATACTGTAGTATATTTAATAGTGTATGTATATATATATAATTTATATAATCATATATTGTATGTATATGAAATCATCTCACGTTCCTGGCCAGTAAAATGCATCAGCACTCTTTCGTGTATGCATGCATGAAGGTTATATGAGTTATACCCTCTGGTAATTTAACATAGCTATTGAAAATGGCCATTTATAGTGAGTTTTCCCATTAAAAATGGTGATTTTCCATAGTTATGTTAAATTACCAGAGGGTATGTTATCCATGGGTCACAGCTCCAAAACTCCTTGACTTCAATGACTTCAACATTCGACTGCCATCGCTCGGTCGCCGGTCCAGCTCTCCCGACAAGGCGGCAAACTGGACCAAAAATTCTGCCGGGGAATTTCTCCCCGTCGCGGCTGCGACGGCACAGCGGAGGTCTCTCAAGGTTCCAAGCAACCTTCTGTGCCTTCGTATTGTGATGGAGCCATAAACCTCCGTTTCTCCCCTGGTGCATTTTTGGTCTTATAATTAGCCAGAAAAGAGCAAACCATGGAGAGGCGTATCCAGCCGCATAGCTGACGTTGGAGCTAGACTGCTGGCACTCCGCCGAAATCCTAGCGCTGAAGCTGCGGGATTGAGCCGGGCGGATTCGTTGACTTTCCCATCAAGAAAGCTCCATTTAGTTCGGGGATTTCCCAGCTAGCCATGTTTGATTACTGGAGGATAAAACGTTGCTGTTTGTCATATTGGTATATATTTGTTGCGATAGTTGAAGGGGCCCCAGATCAGTTATATCCAAACTATGGAGGTTATTTCACTGTAGTTGAGATTATTAGTGTCATGTTCATCATCACCGTCATCACGATGCTAAGCCGCCACTCTACCCCATCAGCTAGTTCACAGCTAAGCGACCCCAGGCAGCGAGGCATTCTAAGCCCAAAGTGTGCATTCCACCCGTGTCGGAAGCCATGACTCAGTAGATTGGTTTGATGGAAAATCTTCCAAAATATAGGACTTTCGCAGATGTTCCCACAAAAAAAAAACTGGGAATGAAGAAGTCAAGCTGAAAACGGAACGAACAGATTTGCGGGGGGCCAGCTTCTGCTATTTCAGGGATCATTTCCAAAACTACTATTAGGTTGATAAAGATTCCCATAGTGGATTAGGATTAGAATATGTCCCCACCAGTTTCTGAGACATATGCCTACCAGGGGCCCAAGGGGCATTGCTTAGGATGGCACACGGGCAAGGCTGGACTCTGACGACCGGTGACGGAAATGTGATGCACTTTTTGTGGCCTGGGGCCAGGTGGTCAATGTGATGCGATTTTCTTCGCATTTCCGTCATGTACTTTGTAGTCGGTGTGACAGTGTGCATTCGCATGGGTATGATGCCTCCGAAGGAAGAGGAGCAGAGAATGTGTGTTGCAAAGATGGGTATTCCACGATAGGCCTCTTCCTGGCTACGAGACGGTCGTCCAAACTATTGTTGTTTATATGATCGACTTATTCTGGACATATGTACAGTGTATACTAGCACCCATGTGTGTGTGTATGTATATATATATATAACTGATTATGATATGTATGTGTATATCTATATACACCATACACATACACATAAATTGTCAGGGCCATGTTGGCTGAAGCCATGGACTCCATGGCGATCGAAACCCTGCAAGCACATATCTGTATTTCAGCTGGTTCATGTGTATATATATATATATATGTACATAATGTATATATATATATATACATAATATATATATAGTAAAACCGCTCATACCTTTAAATACTATATATATACATGCACAAATACTCATTATAAATAAATATATATATACAGGTACTGAAGTACCCATCCAACTTCTTTCCCCCAGATATGTCGGACACAATCGTTCTCTGCATCCCTCCCGCTGGGGACCATCAATGCCATCTTGGCAGCGCGACCCAGCGATACCCGAACTCGCCTTTTGGTCTTTTGGGGATGGACGGAGGGACCTTAAAGAATCTCTCTGGCGCTGTGAGGCCGTTATTGTGTTCACCCAGATTCATCCATCAACAGGAATTATATTGATGATATTTTCATACGTATGGGGATGTAAAAAATGAGTTTCATATATGGGGTTGATACTTATCCCTAAAACCCTCATATTACATACCATTCACGAAACACTGGTGGAATGTGGGCTGGATCTATCCAATCTATTCAGGGTTCCAAAAAGTGGCTCCTGCGACGAGGCCTCCGGCCGACTTCTAGAGGGATTCGCCCAAACAGTGAGAAAACTTTCTGGAAAACTCCAGGTTTCTTTATAAGAATGACAAGTGGCAGTGTGTCAAAACCTTGTACCCCTGTAGTTCACATCAAAATAGCTGGTAAATGGATGTTCATCCCCCTAAAAATGGTATTAACAGGTATTGATCCATACCCAAGTCTGACAAGTCCCATAAAACCATCCGGTTCCTCCAGATGTTGTTCTCCCAAGCTTGCCGGGCGCTGGATCATTCCGGATGCCTGCACCGGAGTATCGCAACAGCCCTGGAGCTGTTGGACGGCGGAGCTCGCGTGGCTCCCAGTGGTTTCCACCGGGACGGCGGAGCCGAGGTCTGTACATGTTCCGGATATCTAGTCCTGTGGCCAGTCAGGTTACCATTGGATTATTCCCATGGCAAAAAATATTTAAAGAAACACTTGGATTTTCAGCAGCATAACCATCAACCACTAACCACATGTTTGTTGGACGAAAAAATCCCCCCTTTTCCGCACTGGTTGCCGATGAGTTCTGAACAGGACCGCAGTTTCTTGAGGTAACTGGCCACTGGTCGGGTGAGTATGACCTGAGCTTTGGGGCCCCTCGGGCACCTCAGCTTTGAGATTTCCTCAATTTTGACCCATACTAAGCTCCTGAAGCGAAGCTCAAATTTCATGGATTTTTTTTCAGTCAGATGGCTGTGGCTCATGGCACCCTGGTACCCTGCTGCTAGTCACATTTTCCAATAGATGGGAGGTTTCAGGATGTTCATCCCCTGAAATATGTTAGGTTTCAACCCACCCCGATATACAGCCAATTATTGCCTACTCGAAAACGAAAAAAAACAATTGTAAAAATGTCGCCTTGCCAATGGCACAATCCCGAAGCAACTACATAGTGACCACGAAAATCGTCAAATGACCAAGACCTGCATGTTTCTGAAATCAGCATCAAATCCAATGCTTACAACTACAGGTGGCTGTTTTCAAGAACTAAGGGACCCAAAAGATATTAAGAAGACTCTAGCGCTTTTGGTGGGCCTGCCTTTTTTTGGCGCTTCCACTTTTCGGGGCCGTTTTTGAGTCCTCCTCCCAATCCATTGCTTTGAGGCCTCGCCACTTCCAAGAGTCGAGACAGCTACTAACAAATTGGCGCCTTCGGAAGCCCGGGATTCACCAACGCAATCATGCGTTTCTCATACATTATACATTTAAATATGCAGGTCTTCATCGATGTGTATACGAAGAAAAAAAGTTGTTTTTGCCTATGTATACTAATGTATACAGGCATTTGTGTGTATGGATGCATGCAATGCTGCACTGCGTTGCATTGGACTGGATTGCATTGCAGTGCATGTTTGTATGTATGCATGGATGCATGTGTACATGTGTACATGTGTTCTTTTGTATGTATCTATCTATGTATGTCCGTACGTCCACACGCATGCATGCACTACATTATACACACACACACACACATGCGTATGCACGGAAAAGAAGATACTTGCATAGATCTACCAAATGTGTGAGCAGGAAACCATGTTGGTTCTGGACTTGCACGTATCAACATGCACAGCAAAACGGACGAGTGCATAGATAGGTCAAACATAAGTATCTAGGTCGATGGATACGTCAAGATATTCTCAAATGTCAAAAAATGGACGGACATGGATGGATAGGATAGTTGAGCAGGCAGATATCATAATTTATCATCATATATCAAGATATATAAGTATAGATATGTGTGCTCAAAGATTGTGTAGGGGGTATGGTCATTCCACCATCATCAGGGATTCCTTGTATGTGGAATCTAAAGCACTATATACTATTAATGGTGATATGACCATCTGGGCAAGTCACCCTTAAGTGTTTTGACCCTGGCACATTCCGGTGACGGCGCGCACGCTGACCTGGCTCGAAGACGGTAGAAAAAACTAGTGATTTCCAGGGCTCCCATGTTGGGTGGAAAACCCCGTCTGCCGGAAAAACATCATGGATCAAGCCGTAAACATGGACCAAGTTGAAGATTGGACTCCCGCCTCTGTGATGTTCAATCTGCTGAAATTGGGAGTATCCCATGTGATGTTCAATCTGCAAGGGACTCAGGGGGTGAAAAGAGCTAAAGCATGTAAAAGATCCCCGAAATCAAAAGAAATGAGATAAAATCCGTCTTTTTTTGGAAGTCCACCAATCCTCTCAACTGTTGCTGGGAACAGGCAAACAGTTCTGGAACTTGATGGTTTCAGCTCAAACCAGTCAAAAAGGCGTGCCAAAAACTTGGAATATTCAATGAGTTGCGATAGGGTACAAAAATGTGCAGATGCACTTTTTTGGGTCGTTCCGGTTGATAGACAGAGAGGTGAGATGGAACTACTTGCACAATGTGGTCAGGAAATCACTGCTTTCAACAGAACATTCAGCAAAAAAAAACAAATTATCAAATGAGTTGTTCTGAGCACTTTTCTTTTATTTTGATCGGCCCAAACCTATTCCTCCTACTTTACCAAACGAGAAATTGTTTACACTCCGGTAATCAAACGTGGCAATGAAAAATCCCTTATATTATATATTTATAGATGATTTCTCAATAAAACCTCCGTTTATAAGGGATTTTCCAGCTAGCCACGTTTGATTACCGGAAGACAGAATTTGGAATTCTGAGATTGTAGCATGTTTTAAATAGCCCCTGAAATCTGTTTCTGTCGAGGTGTCAGGTGGCAAATCCAATTTCTGGTACCCTCCGGTTCGCTGGAAAATCCCCGAACTAAGTGAGGTTTTTCATGGTGAAATCATCGAAGTAAACGGGGATTTTCCATTTTTGATGACACGGGAGGGATGGCATTTATGGCATTTATGGCATGGACTTCAGCACTTTGATGGACCATAAAATATGGTTCTTTTCTATACTTCCAACTGGTGGATTTGCGGACGGTTTATAGCAATCCCCCAAACAAATGCGGAACAGTTTCACCAACTCTGTTACAGGAATATCCGATGTTACTTTTCTGAATCTCTTTTTGGGTTGCTCTGTACATACCCTCGTCCAAACTAACGTAGATCCCCCAATGAAAAAAGGCCCTCAAAAATTACGATGTTTGGTGGAAATTCATATGCCATATGACAGCCCCCAACTCATGGCAGAGTCTATGTAATTTACTGAAGAGTATATGATATCGTTCTACACATATACATTATTATTTAAACACATTATATAGCTTTGTCTGAAAATGGGATCGCCCAAAGACCATTGTTCCATCATCAATTTTCCGTATGTTTCCCATTCAAATAGCCATTTGTCCCATGAAAATTACCATTTGTTCCATATGTTTCCCTATGAAAATAACCATTTCGAGTGGTAAATACCAAACCTATCCACCCCAAAAAAAATAAGCTTTGCTGGTATCCGTTTCATTTTTACAAATCTTTCTGAAGCGTGCTGGGAAGCCAAGCACTGGAAACACTCGCTCAGCTGGGTTTCCGTGAGTTAAATGAACCTGACCTGGTTTGGTTTCTGCAACCTTCTCCGAAACCCGTTGAACCTGACTTGGCTTTGCACCAAGGCTTCCTGGAGCCTTCTCCGGAACCTTCTCCGAACCCTGTTGAACCTGACCTGGCTCTGCACCAAAGCCTTCGAGACCTTCTCGGGAACCTTCTCCAGAACCTTCTCCGGAACCCTGTTGAACCTGACCTGGCTCTGCACCAAAGCCTCCGGGAACCTTCTCCGGAACCCTGTTGAACCTGACCTGGCTCTGCACCAAAGCCTCCCAGACCTCCGGAACCTTTTCCGGAACCTGCTCCGGAACCCTGTTGAACCTGACTTGGCTTTGCACCAAAGCCTCCCAGACCTTCTCCGGGAACCTTCTCCGGAACCCTGTTGAACCTGACCTGGCTCTGCACCAAAGCCTCCCAGACCTCCGGAACCTTTTCCGGAACCTGCTCCAGAACCCTGTTGAACCGACTTGGCTTTGCACCAAAGCCTCCCAGACCTTCTCCGGAACCTTCGAAACCTTCTCGGGAACCTCGTTGAACCTCACCCGGCGCCTGCACCAGTGCACACCGGAGCTATTCTGGGCTGAAGACCCCATTAGCTTACGCTGTTGGGGAAAAAACTAGGGATCCCACAGATCGTCCGTCGTCACACCGAGGAGGACCGATGGATGCCCGATCCCCTGATGGAAAAGGAATGCTCGTGTGCATGTGCATGTGTATGTACAGATATTAATGATATATAAGTATGTATATATATATATATACCCTCCAGACCCTGCCAGATGGGGCTTGGAAGATCCGTTTCCACTAAAAATTTGTGATTTTCCGGTTCTATCTGTCTATCTATCCATCTATCGTTCTATCTATCTATCTATCTATCTATCTATCTATCTACCTATCTATCTATCTATCCATCCATCCACCCATCCATCTATGATATGATATGATATGATGTGATGTGATGTGATGTGATGTGATATGATGTGATGTGATGTGATATGATATGATATGATATGCATGTATATATATATATATTTATACACATGGGTAAATTACTAAAATTCACTGACCTGAAACTTGCAGCCATTTGGGGATGATTCCCCGTACTCACCACATGTCATGATTCCCCGAACTCACCACATGTCCATGATACTGTGGATGGAAGAAATCCTGCACCAGTTGGGAACTATTGGTAATTATGAAACAGCAAATAATTGGATTAGAATGGGAGAAACCATCTACCAACTGGTGCAGGATTTCCTCCATCAACGAAATTTATGATTTTTTTCGATGGTATCTATCATCGTTCAGTGGTGTAAATATATTATCAATGGTATGTATCATGGTATTTGTCAATGGTATCTATTATCAATGGGAATATATATATATATATCTATATATATACCATATTGTATATATATGTATATATACACATCATACATGTTTATGCCTGTGGACCGAAAACCGTGCCCGTAAAACGCACGTTTTTGAATATCGCGATTGTGGGGTGGGGTGGGTGGGGGGGGCATGTCAACGTTCCTTGTACTTCGTACATGAAATATTGCCACGCTGCTGAGATCTCTGGGATCGTTTACTACGTTACATGTTGCTACGCTGCTGATGGGGTGGGGTGGGTGGGGTGGGGGTGTTGTCAAAATCGGAATGGTAGAATCGGAATCTAGTTGTTGAAATCGGAATCGTAGGATCGGATTTTAGTTTGGGAAGATTTCCGCGCGCGCAGCCGTATCCGCACCATCCCGACCATCCCGACCATCCCGACCAGCCTGTCCCACGCACGACGCAGCCGTATCCGCACCATCCCGACCATCCCGACCAGCCTGTCCCACGCACGAGGTAGCACAGCCAAACCATCCCGACCATCCCGACCATCCCGACCGTCCCGACCAGCCTGTCCCACGCACGACGCAGCACAGCCAAACCATCCCGTTGGCTCTCAACTCGGGCTTAGATATGGATAAGTGAATGATGTTTGGAAGTAGTGTGAGGTTATGGGGAAGGTTTCCTGGGGGACCTTGTTTGGGTTATACTGGGTACACTTGGCTAAGTTTGGAGGCATTTTGGGTCTACACAGCTTCTGATGTGGATAGATGTTGTTGTCTAAAGGACTAGAGACCTCAACCTCTATGGCCATCACTCCAGCATCTTCAGCTATCTGCTGCCACCCGTTTTTATCGCGAAACGCGAAAGTGCATCTCTCCAGCGTGAGAAGGCTTCCTGCCAACAGGTCAAAGGAGTGCAGACCACTCAAAACCAGTTGCTTCCCAAAGGTGGTTGCCATGGATGGTGAACAACCAGTTGGGTATCTCACTAATTCCACAAACTTCCCTGGCCTCGCGAGGCCCCATATCCTGACCCTCCAGCCCCTACAAACAATCAATCAATCAATCCATCAATCAATCCATCAATCAATCAATCAATCAATCAAATCAATCCAATCAATCAATCAATCAATCAAATAAATCAATCAATCAATCAATCAATCAAATCAATCAATCAATCAATCAGTCAGTCAGTCAGTCAGTCAGTCAATCAATCAATCAATCAATCAATCAAATCAATCAAATCAACTATTGTTTGGCCATTAAGCATCAATCAAGTACTGATTGACCATCAAACATCAACCAACTATTGCTTGACCATTCATCAACCATTAACCAAACACTAACCAACCAGTAGTCAACCATGAGTCAACTCTCAACCAATGATTGACCATCGGCCGCGAACCGCGTAGTCTCCTTGATATTCAGCCACTGCTACTGAAGATATGCGTATGACCGTGAAACGCCAATTTGGTACCACCAAACCTCTGGTTTGCTTATCAAATTGATGGAAATACCCATATAGAATTTCTATCAATCATCATCCGCGGTTTCATCATCATAGCTATACTATAACCATCATATCACCACCATCACAACCGTATCACCCCTATGAATGGACATGCATATGTAATGATCCGCAAAAACCCATGCTGTGGCACACATCGGTCCACCCATCTTGTCAATCGAGGCCGCGGGGGGGTTCAGCCTTGTGCTGTGTAGCTTGATCTCCTGTGATTCGGTGCCCTGGCCTGGCCAGCATTATGACTTGGTATATCATTACTCTGACTCATGAAAGAGTAGCGATATAGAGGCTATGTGACTAACGTACCGTTCCGATAATCTAAAATCCAAGAAACACTGAAGGATAAAACTAGTACACAGCAACAATGGTGGACTCTACATTGAAGCTCAACGGGCAAAGGGCCCCGTTGGGCTTGGTGATTGAAAGCCAAAGCCGTTTTTTTCTTTCACTTGGCTCTTGACGCACAGCCGGCTCGTTTGGACTCAGTCACTGGGTGGCTCAACTCTTCCATTTGCGTTTATGCTGGAACTCGCGCTTCAGTTCTGGTCGCTCAACGCCGCGCCAATTCGAGCTGAAACCTGGCTGCGACACTGCCCGGAGCACCTAACCTGCCCGGTCCAAGCCAGTCCACCAATTTTTTGCACCTGAATTATCCACCAAATATCTGTAAATCCGCACCAATCGTCCGCAAAGCACAACATGATCTGGTTAATTGAGAAATTGTTGATTAGATGTTGGCGTTCAACGGCCAAGCACACGCCAACCTATGCATTATCCATGTAAAATTGCTAAAAAGACCGGTCATTTCGATTGACCATGATTGGCCAGGAGACCTCCGTGCGTATGACAGGGACCATCCCGACCATCCCGACCGTCCTGACCATCCCGACCGTCCCGACCATGAAGGATCAAAGCTTCTGACAAGCATCCCGACCATCCCGACCATCCCGACCATCCCGACCATCCCGGACAAGCGCCGATGCTGATTCGGCCAATTAGATTCTGATTCCTCATGCTGATTCTTCACGCTGATTTGGCTAGAGAAAATCTGATTTGGCAAATCCCCGTGGGGTGGGGGGGCATGTTAACGTTCCTTGTGCTTCGTACATGATATATTGCCATGCTGCCGAGATCTCCGGGATCGTTTACTACGTTACATGTTGCTACGCTGCTGATGGGGTGCGGTGGGGTCTTCGTACATGATATATTGCCATGCTGCCGAGATCTCCGGGATCGTTTACTACGTTACATGTTGCTACGCTGCTGATGGGGTGCGGTGGGGTCTTCGTACATGAAATATTGCTACGCTGCTGAGATCTCCGGGATCGTTTACTACGTTACATGTTGCTACGCTGCTGAAAGTGGAATCTGATGAAGAAGTCAATTCCCAGCAACTTGAGTGCCAAAAGTGACCTCTTGATGGTGTATGCTAGAGCTTGGCAATGGAGATGCATTCACAAGAATGCTGACTGCCAGCTGATAACGGTGCATGCGTTGCAGCGATGACACTGAAAAGCCAAAAAAACGCGCCCCAAGTTTTTCCAGGATTTCCAATCATCAAATCAGCACGGCACTGTGGTAAAATCACCATTTTTGAAAAAACGTGCGTTTTATGGGCACGGTTTCTGCTCCGGCGGGATGTTTATGTATTTATGTGTATGTCTACATTATATATAGTATGTTTTCGATGTGCATATTTGTGTATATATAGTATATTAGATGTGTATCATGTGCATATGAATGTGTGAATCTATGGGAAAATCGCAGGAATGGGAACTATGTGATGACCAGGGCTACTAGCGCCTCATGGAGCAGCTAAGGCCAAAGTTGCGGCTCAATGGTACGTATCATGGTATGTGTCGATGGTATTTATTATCAATGGGGATATGTACATATATATATATACATATATATACCATATTATAAATATAAATGCTGTAACCATTGGAAAAAAATAAAAAGTAGGATCTGAGCCCAAAGTTCCACTGATGAGTCCCGCGGCGAAAAATAAACATGCCAGGTGCAAACCACTCTTCGACCAGCATTTCATGTGATGTTTGAACACCCTAAACTTTGAAATCTGTATCATTATACATAAATTCATTCATACATTCCATTCCATTCCAATTCATACATACATACCATACCATACCATTCCATTCCATTCCATTGCATTCCAATTCATACATACATACCATACCATTCCATTCCATTCCATTCCATTCCATTACATTCCATTACATTACATTACATACATACATACCATACCGTACCATCCCATTCCATTCCATTCCATTCCATTCCACTACATTACATTACATTACATTACACTACACTACATTACATTACATTACATTACATACAAGCCCCATCAACACAGATATAAATGGAGGAAAAGCTGAGTCCAAGCAGATTTTTGGGTCCAAGCAGTCCTGCTTGGGATGTTCGAATCAGGATTGACTTCGTCGTAGTGAATGAAGGTGCCTCATAAAGGGTCCACGAGAGTGGACCCTCGGAAATCCAGGTCGTTGCAGGGCTACTGCAAATCTAGATATAAATGGAACAAATGTCAATGGCCATTTCAGGATCCTAAATTGGAGGTACCTACCATATATAAGGCCTATGTAAGGCCTATGTAAGGGAATATCCCCAGAAAATATGGCCTTATATGCCTTATATGGTACAGTACCTCCATTTTAGGATCCTGGAATTCCCATTGAAAATGGAACCCACTTAGGGATGTTAGACAAAGTACCAGTTAGGGGATGTTCCATTTACTAGATAAAGAAGCCCTGGTTGATACCCCTGGTTACTGATGTTAGGAGAATAAAAAAAGAACCAGGGGTATCAACCAGTTACGATCCCCATAGGTGATCCAAGTTGTGTTTCACCATCGGCAGAATCGGCAGAAATTCGGATGTGGAAATCGACGGAACCGACCCACCAACCCCACCCGCGTAATGTGTCTTTTTCCCTCAGGATGTCTCCATTTTGGTTGGATCCATGGTCGATTTTCCACCAGATTACCATGTCCAAGACTGTGCCCTATTATCCAGTGACTACATTGTCCCCTGAGAGTCAAGTTGTGGTCTACATGTATTCATGGTATGTTTCACCTCCCTCTCAGTCTCAGTACCTCCCAAATGAAAAATCATACCTTAACCTTAATAAGCGGCTTTAACAAGGCCTTAAAAAGGATCAACCAAAATAGTCATGGGGTACTGAGAGGCTCTAACACACTCCATGATGTATGGTTTGGCACCAAACCATCTGTTGCTTGGTGAAGATTCTTGAGCCATAGCCATCTGCAGATGTGGCTATGGCGGCTATGGATCAAAACCGGATCAGTACCTGGAACCCTGGTTTCCACATCGTAACAAATGGTTGCAGTTGTGAACTTTCATCTCGTCAATTCATAGTAGTTTGTCTAGAAGGGGGACGCACCAAAATGCCAATTCTATTGCGGTAAATGATGATGAATCATCAGATTTTGTTGGTTTCCTATACTGTATATATATATACCTATATGTCATACAACACCTAGCATCTCCATTATATCATCAATAGATCCCCTATAGTAAATCTGGTTGCTTCAAAAAACCAAGGTGCGTTGCACCGGCAGCGGCGCCGCGGCCCAAGCTCCAGGGGGTGCAGCCATGAAGCCACCTGAGATAGAGACTGCACCACCCGGCCGGTATATTTCACCAGCCAAAATTAGGGTTGAGCAAAAAAAAACACCAACAAAATAGGGGTGGAAACCCCCAACAAATTTTGTGTTGTGAACTTAAAAACTAGCAACTATGAATTATCGGGATCTATGTTTCACAAGAAAGTGTACAAATATTTATCAAAGGAAGTTAGTTCGCCAACTTCCAAGTCTCGGACGAATTGTCATGGTTAGTCTTCAATTCAAGCCATCATGTCAACATCATCATGTCAACCACATCATCAAGGGGTTTGGAAGTGAAGTAGATCACATTGCATCACGCTAACAGTCCGGGAGCGTGTGAATTTGGGGGCGAAACCATGGTGGCTCCAGGCATCGTGAAGGTACGGTCTGGATTTGTGCACAGGGGATTTCAGAGCCGAAATGGTATCGATTCGATGGTGCGTTGCTGCTATGCAGGAAAGCATCGGAGATGCTTGACCTGCTATGCGGGATTGCAGCTGGAAGCTGCTAATTGCAACAGCTGCGCGAAAAGTAATCTTTGAGCATTGGAAGTGCTATGTACTATGTACCACTCTCGCGCTATGTGCCACTCTTGTGCTCTGTGAGATTGCAGCTGGAAGTTGTAAAACGCATTGTGCTGGCTGCGCGAAGAGAAGAATTGGGTTGCAGAAGCTACACAAGAGGTAATAGAGAGAGAGAGAGATAGAGAGAGAGAGAGAGCGAGAGCGAGAGCGAGAGCGAGAGCGAGCGAGCGAGAGAGAGAGAGAGAGAGAGAGCGAGCGAGAGAGAGAGAGAGAGAGCGAGCGAGCGAGCGAGTGAGCGAGCGAGGGAGGGAGGGAGGGAGGGAGAGAGGGAGGCAGCTCAGAGCAGAAGCCGGTCAGAGAAGAAGTAGCCCGGAGAAGAGGCAAGAGGTAGCTGCACCAAAAGCAGAGGCTTCTCATCATTCATTGATTCAGAATCTTTGTTTCATTCATTTCAGTCAAAAACAGTTTGTCATTCCAATATACTCATCGGCTAAGTACAGGCTTCCCATGGATTTTTTTTGTCTCCAGTAGTTTGGGGCAGTTTGTTGACCTAAGAACCACTAATCAACCAACAATCAACCATAATTTATCCATCATCTTCCCATATTTCTGGATACTTCCCAGCCCTGATGGTGACAACCCTACCGGGCGTCCCACCTGGCATGTCGATCTCGGGGACTGGCGTATTCTCTGGTGAACTGCCTACGAAGCTGGAATCTCTCTGTATGTGAACAAACGACATCTGTATTGATGTATTTGTGTATTTATGTACCTATGTATCTATGTGTATCTATCTACCTATCCATCCATCCATCTATCGATTTATCTCAGTTCATTCCATTTCATCTAGTCTCATCTCATCCAATCTAATCTACGCTACTCTAATCTAATCCTATCTAACCTAATCTAATCCAATCCAATCCAATCTAATATGTCTATACATGCATACATACATGTATATATATATGTTACATACATATGTATCTGTATATGTATACGTATATGTGTTTATATTATACTATATTCTGTTATGTTGTATTGTATTAATTGATATCAAAGTATATTCTATTATTTTGTGTCATATCATATTATCATATATAGTATGATATTATATCATATACATGTTATATACATATTACATACATATTATATACATATTATATACATATTATATACATATTACATACATATTACATACATATTATATACATATTATACACATCTTACATACATATTATACACATCTTACATGCATATTATATACATATTATCTACATATCATCTACATATTAATATCTACATATTATCTACATATTATCTACATATGATATTATATAATATTATATACTTATTGTACGATATATTTATGTATATGTATATTTATATCTATGTCTATATCTATAAATATATATATATGTATTTATATCTATGTATGTACGTACGTACGTACGTACGTACGTACATACATACATACATACACAAATATGCATACATTATACATACTGTATATGTGCATACATATATACTGTGTATATATATATATATGCACGCACATGTATAAATTTAATAGTATAATCTGTTCAGAATGATTAGGGGGCGACCTAATCAACACTGATGAATCAGCCATCCCAGGTACTGGTAGAAATCTCAAGCTCTTCCTCCAAATAGTGGTATGTTGTTTGACCATGTTTAATCATCAAAAATGAAACCATCCTAACATGGGATAGATTGCTCATGTAACATGGAAAATACTCCTATGTTTCGCCCCAAAGTCATGAATTGATCCAAGACATTTTAGCATGCGTTCGTTGGGGGGACAGGATTATGATGTCATCAGCGCCTGCCACCTGCTGCAAGATGCTCTGTGCATGCCTGGCTAACTGAGCAGTGCCCAAGGGTTCGCTGACTCCCCAAATACGGGTCAAAACATGGTATATGGTTTATGGTCATCCTATCATGGGAATCCTAACATCATTGGTATATAAAACATCATTGGTGTATACACATGTGTATGTATCTATACAGTATATATATATATACATATATATATATACATATATATATATAATATGAGTAAAACAAGAAACTGGCTTGATGACCATTTCCCAAGATTGCTTGGAAACGTCCATTACTCCAGGTCCCGGTTCTCCAAAAGGGTCCAAAAAAAGGGGGGTCCCGCGCGGGTCCCGCGGCGCCTCACCGGATTCATGGCCATTGAAGGCTTCCAATGGTCAAGCCCTGGTGCCAGCGGGGATAGATCACTGGGGCAGCTGCAACTGGTGAAGTGAAGTTGCAACTGTAGCTGTGACGAATTAAAAATATGAGGTCTTTTTTTCACCAACATGTCCAAAAATAGGTGTATGTCTGAAAAGAAGACTGGTGATCAAAGATCTGACTGGGCAACTGAGATAGCTGGGTCTGAAATGGGTTCCGAATACAACGTCAAGACCAAGAGTCCAGAAAAAATGACAGCTCAGGGATGTTCAGGGGAACCTACCTGCGAGCTACAAAATTTCACACCATCCCTGAACCAATCGCCCGGTACCATGATCCCCACCTTGATTGGAAACCGGCTCAGAATTGCGTCGCTCAGCTCGTGGCCTCGGTTGCCATTGGTTGCCATCGCTCAAAGAATGGATCGCTTCACCAAAAAAAAAGGTTTCATTGGTACCCTCTGGTAATTTAACATAGCTATTGAAAATGACCATTATTAGTGGATTTACCCATTAAAAATGGTGATTTTCCATAGTTATGTTAGTTTACCAGAGGGTACCTCATTTTTCTAACCCCTCTATTGAAAAAATATTCAAAACTCCAAGCCTGATCAGTACAGCCTGGCTTTCATATCCAAATAGCTGGCAAAGCTGGATGTTCGACCAGCATTGATGACAGTCACCCTGCAAGACATCGCGGCCATCAGTACTGGACCATGGGGAGGATCTCATCATCCTTCCCCATGAAGTGATCGTCTGAGGTTGGTTGATACCGAAGAATGTAAGAAACCATCCAGAAACCATCGTTTGGTATCGGAACTCATTTTCATGAACTACAACATTCGTTTTACGGTCCTAACATGCAGGAAAGTCTCAGACTCGGGAATTCAAAATTGAAACCATGATAGATGTCCATTAAACATCAAGAATATTACCCTGACAGCTGCAGGGATCTGATGTCCGGCCTCCACTTTCTGGGAACCTCTCCAAATCAAAAAATATGGCAAATATGGGTCACGTGTATTGAAATCATCAGCGTGGAAAATGCCCACCAGCATTCAGCTGAATAATATATTGTATGTATATATATATGTGTGTCTATACATATACAAACATATATATATATACATATACATATATATACATATATATATATATACATATATATATACATATATATACATATATATATATATATATAATGTACATATATATATATATAATGTACATATATATATATATGCATAATATGATGTATTATGTTTCAGCTTCCAGCTTGTGATGGCATGTTTTTCCCAAAATGCTGCCAGGACACCTGGCGGGTTCTGATGGTTCTGACCATCCCTCGCTTCCACTGCTGCTGCTCTCCATGGATCGCAAACCTTGAAATGCTGGCGGCTGAGCTCAAAACCAAAGGTAATAGTTGAAATGGATAATAGATGGATAATAATGATGGTTAATGATGGTTAATGATGGTTAATGATGGTTAATGATGGTTAATGATGGTTAATGATGGCTAATGATGGTTAATGATGGTTAGTGGATAATAGATGGATAATGTCAACCCCGGATGAGACTAAACCATGGTTTATTAATTAGGGGGGTACTCCTCCAATAGTCATAATCTGATACATAAATGGTACCCTCCCAATTAAACAGCCTAGGGGTTTATTAATCCAGGGTTGACATTAATAATGATGGTTAATGATGGTTAGTGGATAATAGATGGATAATTTAATAATGGTTGATGATGGATAATACTAGATGGTTTAATGGATGGTTAGTGGATAATAATGATGGTTAATATCCGAACATATGCTTCTAAATTCTTTGATTCAGACGCTTTGAAATATTTAGACTTTAGAACTTTAGAAAAACAGGAAAATCATCCGAGAAAATGCGTCTAAAGGCTAAAATCTTCCAACTGTTCCAGAGAAAATCATCGGCCGATGGCCCAGCACTTCGCTAAGTGTCCAGACGAGACAGCGCTGCCTGCGGTGAAAACGTGTGTGTGTGTGACAAGAATCTTGATGGATTGCTTCAATATCAATATATATATACTTTCGAATGTATATATGTAAATCAGCTATATCTCAATGTACACGTCTATATTAAAGGTGAATATATCAAACATATATGTACATGTGTACACAGACAATCATATACATCTACATCTACTAAGTCTATTGAGATATAAGATAAATATGTATACAGTAAGCAATATAACGAAATATATGTGGGTCTTCATTTCCCCAAGGTGCCATTGGGGTATGGTCGTCCAAGCACTATTTGCGGGGGTTCCGAATATATAAATGGGAGATCCCCAAAATGGATGGTTTATAATGGAAAATCCTGTTCAAATGGATGATTTGGGGGGAAAAAAAAATTGGGACTGCTTATATCCAGTACATACACATATACCACTGTTCACAGAGCTGTTTCACAGGACCGAAGATGGGTTTATCAGCCACACTTTTGCACATGACAAAGTGTGGAAGTCGTGTAGAACCCACTTCTATCATGGCTTCCTTAAAAGGCATCTCAAAAAAGTGCAAATCCATTTACGCTCTCAAGAACATCAACCGTCTTGCAACAAACCCTGAAGAAAGGATCAATGGACAAATAATAATGGTGGTTTGAGTGATTCTCACTCACACAACATCCATATAGACAGATCAGAAATCACAAACCTGACATGGATCATGGAATCATGGGAGGATTTCCCCAATCTCCCCAAGATAAGTTTCATGATGAGGTCAGTGAATCTTGGGATCTCTGGATATATCATGGGCGCTTACAGCCTCTATTGAATAGATCCAATGGGGAATCTACCAGTGCCAGATAAAAAGTAGATGAGAGTACCACAGAGTATCACATTCCTTCATGTTATTCCCCTATTGACGGTGGTTGATGTTCCATTCCCCACAGCGGCTTCATAAGCCTTAAAAATTCCTCCATGAAATTGATCAGGATCACTATGTCTGGATAAACTGCAATAATTCACCAACCTGAAACCAGGCCCCCCCGAATCTTCCCTTCGCCCGAAACAAGGCCATAAAATTTGATATTTATCCGCTAAACTCACCATTCCACCTTAATATGTGAGGTCCTGAGGTCCTGAATCCGATTTGGTCATCTGAGTCATCAACCCATCTTTCCCCGGGTCCCCATCCTCGTATTCTTCCTGTGACAGCATGGCTCCCAGCTTCCTAGGAGCGAACACCGTCACCAAAATGGATGGTTTTTGGGTGCCAAAAATCCCCATGAAATGTGATGACAATGATGACATTTTCTCCATTGGATCTGATCTCCGGGTTTCAGGCACAACTTCTGGGTCCAAGTGAGTTGTAATTTCCAGTGCGCATCCCAGGAACTCTTGGGATAGGTCATATGCCGTGATCCTATTCACCAGGTATCCAAACATGGTATTTCGTGATTAAAAAACATGTTTTGGTTTTAAAGCTCATGATGAAATGCTGCCCTTTTTAAATCGTGGTTTAGTATTGGATCTATTCGTTTGGGGCGCGATATGGGAATATTGAATATGAGTTATTAGGCTGAACATTCAAAGCATCCCATCCTGTCTGCCGGGCATCTTGTGAAGTCTTTGTCTCAAGCGCCTCTTCACCGATCGGTTCGGTGCTTCCTGTCGACTGGGACCGGTTTGCTGGGCTTTGGGGTTGGGTTTTTTCTGGCGTTTTGCTAAGCCACTGGGACCTAAAGAATCGACCTCAGCTCGACCAAAGTATGAGTATGTAACAATGGTTCATCATACCAAAGTGTGTATGAAAATAGACATCAGTAGACATCATACCATCAGTAGACTATAGTACTATCCAGTATACTACCAAAGTAGACATCAGTAGACTAGAAGTTTCAACTGAAAAGATCTCCGGTGGCTGAAAATCCATATGGATTGCTGCATAGATCCGCATTGGCGAAATCCTCCTACCGGGGGCCTTGACAGCCTTCACAGAGGCTTCCAAGAGCCTCAGGTTTGATCCCACGTAGCTTTTTGAGGGCGGGCAACCGAGCCTAAAGTTGGATGGCTCTACAGAATAACTCATCTAAATATATATATATATAATCATATATACTGTAATTGTATACTTATCTAACTTATACAGAACTTGGGGGGCATCCCAATTCATCTCAGCCTCTGATCCAGTACATTCCACAAGGACTCTTGGTGTTCACTATGATCTGCAGAAGGGTGATGCCGCCCAAAACCCAGGTTCAAGTGGAAGTATACCGCCTGTTGACAATGGGAATATCAACAAACAATCATGGATTCCACAACTATCAAATTACTTTCTGGACAAGCAGTTGTTTGTGATTTGTTGTGCAGGGGCTGCTTCGAGTGATCCCCACCCACTGACGTTCTATCTGACATATATTCTGACATTCCATCTGGCATTCTGTTTGGCATTTTGTCTGATATATATTCTGACATTCTATCTGACATTCTATCTGGCATATGTTTGGGCCCATGCGTGCCCAGTTGCATCCGGAGCTCGCGATAGGGTTCGGGTCCATGCGTGCCCAGGCTGAAGAGTTCGCCATGAGCTTCTGGCACTTGCTCCTGGTCCATTGGTGCCCACAGTCACGACGAGCTGGCAGAAGGAGGAGACTGAGAGAAGGCGGAGGAGAAGGAGAAAGAAGAAGAAGAAGAAGAAGAGGAAGAGGAAGAGGAAGAGGAAGGAGTTGCACCTTTGTTAAAATCTAGAGACCCTCACATGGCAGCTGGGGAATAAAAAGGATCAAAGTGTCAAAGTGTACTCCAGTGATAATGTAAGCAACAAACGAAATCAGAGGTAAACAAATCAACAACAAGAATCACATAGACTGAACTGTTGCCTGGTTCATGGCTCTGGCAAATAGGGTAAAAGAACTACCCATTTCCCTAATATAGTGATTATCATTAATCATAATCACTATAACCATTATCATTATTGTTAATAGCAATTATTAATACTGAGGTTGCACCGGAGTTGAGTGATATGTACTGGCGCCCGATTCACTGTAAGCATACCCGCAAAAGCATGACCTCTCAAAGTTCCGATTTATAAGCAGGATATATGCAAACGTACATGTATATACATATATGTATACGATACATATGTTGGTATACTATGCTATCTACTATACCACACGTACATCCATAGAATATCATAGAATCATCTTAAAGTACAACCGGTATCTTCTTGGATCAAATACCGCCCCAATCCCAATATCTTCAATGCATCGTTGGCGCTCATCCACGCTTTGCTCCTTCGAATCTGTCTCTTGCGGCTCTGGTAGCAGTGGAAGTTGCAAGCTATTTAGAGGCCTCGGGGCTCGTTGGGCAACCTCAAAAGGATGGAGATTTGATGGTGATTTCAATATTATGAGGATTGAATATGATTTAATTTAAGGGCGAGAAAAGAAGAATTTAACGAGATTGACAACCAATTGTGTATATATATATATAGGGGGGAATTACGCATGTTTTCCAGTACAAGTTTACTTTTCTATCTCTTCGGGGGTTGCTCTACATGTCATCACTCAGCTGCGAAGTGGGATATCCTTCTGGGCGTCCGAGATGTTCCTCGGAGTGGGAAGCAGATCTTTGGCCTTGTGATGCCGATACCCCAAATGTGTCTGACCCCACCAATTTTTTCACAGGTCATTTCACCCCATCCCAAACCAAATATCAGCCATTCGGAACACGTGTTTGGAATGAGCACCCCTGAAAAAATAACTAAAAACAGCTTCACTTCCAATGCACCCGTGGTTCACTCCCAACTTGTTTGGACTCCCGCGTCACTATGCTTTATAACTCTAAAATGGGGCGCAAAATTTGTTTCCAGATCAAATTCTCCAACTGCGCGCATCTCCCTATAGTTGTAGTTGTTGATGCCCTTCTTTCTCGGTGACCGTTGTTTGGCCGCGCTAGGGACAGCCAAGCCATCCCAACTCTTCAGGGTGTCATTCTGGCCGGGGCACTTGTTCAGGCACATGCTGGGCAAGAAAGACCCTGCATAGCGCGGAGCATCGCGGAGCTAGGACTGGAACACTTTTCTGCACCATGCCAAAACTAGGCTACCGGTTTTGCCCCAAGAACGGGGGATATCCGGGATACCGATACCAATTGCCATCATGGCGGCCATAATTATGGTCATAATTTTGGGGTAATACTAGGTTTGGGTACATCATTTTCCAAGATAGTATTAAGGTCCAATTATGGTCATTTGTACCAAGACAATGATTTTGGGGTACATCATTTTCAGACAAACCTAGTTGGAAAATGTTGGAAATAGAATGAATTTGTTTAGACCCATCTCGAATACCTTTCCCGAATTTCGCCGGGAATTCTCAAATCATAGCGGCTGAAAATATGGAATAGCTGAAGCCAGGTCTTGTAGACTGAAGTCCCAATCGGGGATGTCGCAAGATTTTCTTTGACTCCGAACTCCGAACTCTCCAAAGTGCTCTGTATGCAGAGTAGTAGTTTCAACCTTTGAGCCAACAAACAATGGAAATCCTGCGAGGTGACAGTCATTTTGAACCGACATCCCTGGGACATAGAGATCGGATAGGGACTTGCCGTTGATATACCACTTGCCAATTGGCTCGGTGACTCTTGCATACATTGGTATTGATATCATGATTAGAACCGCAGTTGGTTTCTGGACGGATGTTTAAATATGAACGGGGGAAGGGATTACTGTACTGCACTTCATTGCTGGCCCAGGCAATGTGTCGCAATGTAACGGGTAGACACTGGAAAAAAACTTCTTACGTTCAACCCTACTCTCCACACTTGGAAAAAAAATTAAAACACTGGGAAAAAAACTTAGGAATGTGTACTTTGAGCATTTGTTGCAGCTTAAATCTCTATTTGTGAAAAAATATTTTGGAAGTTAAAATATGCAATTTGCATGATGTATCTCAAACATGGCAAATGCTGTATTATTTGTTGTTTGTGGGTTTTAGTGTACTAGGGACTGCTGCTCAAAACATCTTAAAACAGCATTTATCTTTGGTGGTTGTTCTTCCTTGTATCGGCAACAACTGATGATGGTTGGTCCTATCCTCATTCTCAATCTCATGAAATTCATGTAGTATCCCATCCTTGTGCTTGGTTGTGGATCAGCTCCATTTCATATCACCAACCTGCCATTGTCAGTTGCTAAAGGCCTGCAGAAACAGCCGCCCGCCAAAGCCGAAAGCTGGTTCGAGCCACACATTTTGATGGATAGATATTCAGAAGTGGTAGCTCAACGAAGGATGGCCAAATGTGAGATATGATTTTCTGCAGTTGAACATCCCATTCCAAAACTACAATGGTGGGGCTCATCACATGCTTGATGGAATTTCGCCAATGTTTCACCACGAATCACTGGGAACGGAATGAGCAAATTGCTGAAGAATTTGAGCGTCGAAAAGCCGAAGCGAACATCGGATTTGCAGGTAGTCAGTGAATCTTTGGGACATTCATCCCCCTAATGAGATGCTTCTAATAAAAAGTTCTCCATCCAACCCTTTGGCTAGTTGAAAAAGAGCGTGATCTTGTAATCACATCACAAGGGGGTACCACAATACCCGATCTAACGCTACAAATAGTGAACTCGACCCAGTCCGTCGAACCTCAAATCTGAGCTGAGGGATAGCCAGCACTGCCAGCTTCATGTTTTGCTGGGTCTTTCGTTCCACCTTTGATGGCTTGAAAATGTTAGAAGTCTATCTGTTAATCTATTTACCTGCCCAGAGACCCAAGCCGCACTGCCCGCAAAGCTGACGTTATTTTGAGCACTTTCTCCACGGCGGGGTGCATTGGACCCCTAGGTTGGGAGAAGATCAAGACTGTTCGGAACCCAGTGGAAAAGAGGATGAGGCCGCCTCAAAAGCTAGAATTTCTGTTGTTGCGAATCACGCTGAAGGTGAAAAAGAGGACCCATGCACCTACTCAGAACATCAAAATCTGGCCAAATCTGGCCTCCGACTTGGCGCTTTCTCGGAGTACTGCCAGCAGCACATTGGGCCCTGGAGTACCCTGCACCTGAACCGCGAAGCGCACCAGGGCGGTCGCAACATGGGGCGCCAGCCGCAACGGCCGCTCCGGGCTTGGGGCAGCCGAGGGATATGGAGGGACGGCAACGCTCGAAATGATGTGGACATGAGGAAGGCTAGAGATGCCACTAGGAACACGGGCTAAGCTAACAAATATTCCAACTATACCCTGGTTGTAATGTCTGCTTGTCACCTTAGTTGTCGAGCAAAATCTCCAGTTGGAGGGTGTTTGTTGTAACCCCGTGATGGGCAGATTTGGGAGACTTCCAGCTGGCCCCCTATTTCGGTATAGAGGTGTAGAACCAGGTGACATTGCCGAAGATCGCCATTTCCCACCTTGAGGAGGAATCAGCTTAGTATTCTACATATGGAATTAGCATCGTCAAAATCCACTCTATCCACTGTCTCAAGCTGTACCTCTATACCAAGAATCCATTCCCACGAGTCCATTCAACAAGAAATTCCTCATCTCCATATCTCCATCGGGCGTTGGAAACAGTGACCCTACAAAAACACGCGGATTCTGTGCTGTCGGAATTGGTTCTTTCGGAAAATTGACAGGAAACAGCGGTGTATGATGGTAAAAACCATGGGTTTCCCGTCCATTTTCTCAAAAAGAATCAACCTGGTGACTTGCAAGGTGCCGATCCGGTCACCCTTGAAACAACGCATCTGCGACTGGGTCCACAGACGTGCCATCTTGGCCAATTTCTTATTTGCTTGGGATCAAGGGGTTTATCTGAAAATGGTGCGTACCCAAAAATCGCATGGCTTCGGACCTCATGTTCCTCAGCAAAATTGCAACTTTTAAATATCCATCCGTTTCTTTTCAAACCCAAATATTCCAAGCGTATAAAGATCGAAACGAAGCGTTTGACCCCATCCTAGTAGGTACAATAAAGAACACTTGAGGATAGAGTGATCCCAAGCACCCAGAATCAAAGGAGAGCAAACAGTGCTCTTGGTCACCTCACTCCCAAAATCCATATGTGTTAGGGTAAAAGATGGTATATGCGGTATGGTATGGTCATCCATCCCCTACTGAGACTCTTTACCATGGCTAGGTACATAAATCCATTATATAATGAATCATTAATGGACTGATGAAGCCCCCGACATGGATATGTAATCCATCTGTTCACCATCGCACATATGCATTGACAACCCCTAGGGATTAAAATTGATACTCCCCTGGCCTGGCTCATGGCAAGTGGGACTGGATCATCTGCATCTACGATCTTCGAGTGGCAATTTTTGATGTGGTATGATGTTGTCCAAAAGAGTCCCCAGTCGCTTCTTCAAATCATGAAACCATCTCAACTTAAAGCGCGGCGGTCAGCAGATGTCAGCAGAACGCGCCTGACAGTGATTTGCTGCAGCCACCTATACAAACTTCATGGATGCTACCAGAACATCTGCCAAGGACAGGGTTGCTCCAAACACCCCAGGTACGTTTGGGGGGTAAATTGGATAAATATAGAAGTAAAATGAAAGTCAAATGACTGATTTACCCCCCGCGTGGCTATCTTTTAGAGTATAATGGGTTGGAGCAACCCAATAAGGAATGTATTGCTAAGCTGCTGCCACCCGGAAAAAAAAAAAAACACCCTACCACCCTTCACTTGGCAAATCGCGATGCTTGAACCGTGCTTTGCTGGGAGAAACCTTGGAGGATATGGGTCTGTCCAGGCTACCCCAAAAATCCATTGGACGAACTTCTATTTTACGGGTATCCCCATTTGCAAATACGCCCGTATGTACGGCCAACAAGAACGTTTTAACGGCAACTTGTTCTGTGATGCCGGACCCAACGGCTTAGTATGGAGCATCCCCAACTGTAGTTGCAGGATTTTTTTTCAATTCTGCGCCCGAATCTATGGCTCTCAGTGGGGAAAATGATAAATACCCTCTGGTAATTTAACATAGCTATTGAAAATTACCATTTATAGTGGATTTTCCCATTAAAAATGGTGATTTTCCATAGTTATGTTAGTTTACCAGAGGGTAGGATTCTTGGTATTTCGATCCACTTAAATCACCTGCTGAAATGGTGCGGAGGGCAACTGGCAGCCATAGTAAACCTGTGCCCAACAATGATTCCATCCAGGACTCACCATCTCTTGTGATCACCACGGTTCAAAAAAACACGGTAGCTGCTGAATCATCTTCTCAATGAAACAGAAATTCCAAGCTTCATAGATGATGATCATTGATTATCTTATCAGAAAAATCTAGATGTTCCCATATGTTCCCATATGTTCCCATTCTATCCCTTGTTTTTGGCAACCCTACTGACTCTAAGCCAGCCATTTTAAACTATGAAAATCCTCCAACCGGCCTAGACAGATCGCGAGCGACGGCGGTGGAGGTGGACCCTGAGCTCAAAGTCTGAAGTGGATGGATAGTGATGGATAGTGATGGATACTGATGGATATGGTACATGTAGTGATTGATAATGGATGATCATGGTCAATAATGACTATATAATAATGATTAATCTCATGGATGATAATAATCTAAAAAAAAGATTAATGATGGTTGTTATCATGCTAGTAAGGCAACTTACTAAACCAGCCATACTTTGATGGTTTATACCATTTATACCCATAAAAAATCTAAATTTCCGCGGATGATGGATCCCATTCCGAAAAACGTTCCCGGTCATTCCCAGAGGAGCCATGGCGCGGGGATTTCTCAGCCATGTAATTTGTGCGGGCCCCCATGGACCGACCGAAGAATGGTGGATTTTCCAGTTCGCAAAGTCTTAGTTTACCAGAGGGTAGAGAGAGTTTCATTTAGAGTTTCAGGGTTTCCAGTTCGCAAAATGCGAATGATATCTAATGATTGTTGGCAAAATAGGGATTGAATGAGAATTTTGCCAACAAGAAAAAAAGCATAATTTTTGGTAGGAAATTGAGGATGTGTCATAGGGATATAGCTAGCCAACAATGTGTGAGACAACAATGTGTGAGATATGGGTGTCTCGGAATTTGCAAGATATATCCCCACCATGATAAAACCATCCCCGCACAGTGGTTTCTTGGGGTAGAAAACCCTGCGTGCTTGCATCATCATCCTACTTGGTAACGACTGACTAATTGATGCAACCAATTGAGCAGTGTTCAAAACCCTCTGTCCATCTATACTGCCTGGTTAATGGATATTCCCATAATGGCTTATGGTTCATACATATTGGGTAGCATAATCCCATATAATTAATCAGCAGCTAAAAGGGGTTTCAAACACTGCTCAATTTATCAATCTAAGGAATTGGGGGCCTGCGACCACCACTACCATTGGTTCTGAGTTCTATCGCCTGATTTTTCTCAACCCCCCGAAGTTCGCTGATCAAAATCCCGTGCAAGCCCTGGGTTTCCCCCATCCCTCCTGGTGTCAAAGTGAATGAACGTTCGCTCCACTGGTGGGAGGTCCTGTGGATGTTTGGCCAATGTGCAATGGTCGCAATGTAAACTAACAGTTTGCGAACTGGAAAAAAAACATGTTGAAGAGGTTTTTATAGTATATCTGGTTGGTGGTTTCAATCCCTCCGAAACATATTAAAGTCAGTTGGGATGATTGTTCCCAATATATGGAAAAATAAAAAATGTTTGAAACCACCAACCAGTATATTCTATGAATGGCAATAACATCATCACATTACCAGAGGGTAACCCTTGTTGCTGAAAAATCTGCCATGTTTTTTTGTATGTTTTGGCCTTGTGGCGAATTGCTACAAAGGCTCAAATTTCGAGACGCGCCAGGTACGTCTACCCATCCGCAAAATGCTAAAGATTTTAGTGGTATGGCAACCCGATCCAAGATCATTTAAACATACCTCAAAGCATACCCGGTATACCCCAAGGCTCTCCATGCTGTCTTCAATGGCCATTCGGCCATTCGGGCCATTCTCCGCTCCCTTTTCTGGATTACTCCCGAGATCTTTCCGATCAATTCCGGGCTCTCAGTCAATACCCTAGTATATTTTACTATTACCCATGTTAATCCGTTGTCATGTTGGGAAAAAAAAAGGAATTTACAAACTCAAAATTGATGTGGTGAAACACCAAGTGTCACTTAAGCCTCATCCCATCTCATCCCCATCCCTCTCCCCGATCCCACCTCACTGATAGCGCGTTCCCAGTCGTGGGTAATGCTTTCGAGCTCACTAAGGTCATCCTCCAAATCCTCCAATCCCGTGGTGTCGCTGGCGACACCTGGCGGCCGAAGAAGAGGTGGATTTCACCAAGAACATGAGCCAACCAAGCTATTGAACCAAGCAAAGTCTCTGAGGATTTGACTATTGGGCTGTGACCAAGCCAAACGCCAAAAATGGAGATTCAAGGCACAACATCCAGATTGAACGTACTGAAACGGGGTTAACTACCCATAACTGCTGGTTTGCCTATCGGAGTTTATTTGGACTTTTAGCCCATTATATGTCGATATTATTTAATATATATATATATACATACAGTATATATACACAGTATGTGTACATGTATACAGTATGTGTGTATCACAATGAAAAAAAGTATATATATATAACTCCATATCGCCAATCCAGTTGCAGCGGTATGTTGATCAGGCCGTTCCGGTTCCTGGGGTGACCTCGGATGGGCTTCTGAACAATAAAAATAACATAAAACAACTAGCAGGCACGGAGCACCCACTTTTGGAACCAAAATCTATTTGGATTACTTGGAGAATCTCTCAAATTGCAGCATCACTAGTGGACTCCCTTTTCTTTGTATAGTTCGACGACTCATTGACGCATTGTCAATGACATTAAGCGACTCTTGTGTCACCCGCCTGGGCTGCCGGGGCGTTTGTTGGGGAAATTCAGCACCACAGGAACTGGTTGAATCGGTTGAAAGTTGCCCATCGGGACCAATCTCAGCGCTGAGCTCAGCCGCGTGAAATGGCCGTGGGTCACCCGGTCACCCTGGCCCATAGATTGAGTAGATGGTTGATAAGCCCTATGTTGGCTGGTGAATACAATATAGTCACTATAATATACTATAACCCCCCTTAGTAAGCCCTAATTTTTGAGGGCAAGGTTGAATCCCCGAAATCAAGTTGTGGGCCTGAACAACCTGGCCATAAATGAGAACCCTGGCGCGACCGAGGTATTGACGTAAAAACAACTATGGAAATCTATGGAATTTGAGGAGTATTTATTCCCCACAATGAGTTTCTCTGGAAATTAGTCAACCCAAACTCCACTGGTCAATCAGCATTTGAAAATCGCAGGACATGTTATTCAGTTTTTAAGCTAAGGTCGTTGGTTTCGTGTCAAAACCCACTCAACCATCAGTCCATTGATTCATGGAAATGGAGAATTCGGCAAACTTGAGACAGCCAACCGGTGACATCGTCCACAGTTCCATACCTCAATTCCCTGTTGGCCGCTTCTTTCACCAGGTGGCACCGCAAAGCCAGCTGGGCACATCGGTGCCATGGGTCGGATGTTCAAATACCTCAGACTGGCCACATGCGAAAGTTTTTGGCCTTGGTGAAAACAAATTGTTTTTTGTTCATACCATTGGGGGGGTGCAACCAAGGAGCGATTGAAAGCACGAAGCAATTAAATGGTTGTATCATCAGTCGTCTTTTGTTTTTGCCGCATTCCACAACCCAATTTGTTGGTGATGTTATGTTTCTGTGTATGTGTGTATGTGTGAATGTGTGTATGTGCGTCTGTGTGTCTGTCTGTATGTCTGTCTGTTTGTATGTCTATATGTCTATATGTCTATATGTCTGTATGCCTGTATGTTTGTATGTCTGTATGTCTGTATGTCTGTATGTCTGTATGTATGTATGCATGCATGTATGTATGTATGTATGCCTGTATCTTTCTATCTATCTATCTATCTACCTATCTATCTTTCTATCTTTCTATCTTTCTATTTTTCTATTTTTCTATCTATCTATGTGTGTATGTGCGTATGTGCGTATTTGCGTATTTGCGTATGTGCGTATGTGTGTATGTGTGTATGTGTGTATGTTTGTATGTTTGTATGTTTGTATGTTTGTATGTGTGTTTGTTTGTTTGTTTGTATGTGTGTGTATGTCTGTTGTGTATGTCGTATGTTGTGTATGTATGTTGTGTATGTATGTTGTGTATGTATGTTGTATGTATGTTGTGTATGTATGTTGTGTATGTATGTTGTGTATGTATGTTGTGTATGTATGTATGTATGTATGTATGGTATGTTATGTTATGTTATGTTATGTTATGTTATGTTATAATATGTTATGTTATGTTATGTTACGTTATGTTATGTTATGTAATGTATGTATGTATGTAATGTATGTAATGTATGTAATGTATGTAATGTATGTAATGTATGTAATGTATGTAATGTATGTAATGTATGTAATGTATGTAATGTATGTAATGTATGTATGAATGTATAAATGTATGTATGTATGTATGTATGTACGTATGTGTGTATGTGTGTATGTGTGGATGTGTGTATGTACGTATGTGTGTATGTGTGCATGTGTGTATGTACATACGTACGTACGTACGTATGCATTTGCATCTATGCATCTATGCATCTTTGCATCTGTACATCTATACAACTATATTGTACATCTATCTTTCTATCTACCTATCTATCTCTCTATTCATCTTTCTATCTATCTGTCTATCTATGTACGTACGTACGTACGTACGTGCGTAGGTACATTGGTACGTAGTTACGTAGGTACGTATGTATGTATGTTCGTGTGTGGGTATGTACGTATGCATGTATGCATTTGCATTTCTGCATCTTTGCAACCATGCATCTATGCATCTGAACATCTATACATCTATCTATCTATCTACCTATCTGTACATCTATACATCTATCTATCTATCTACCTATCTGTTTATTTGTCTATGTATCTATGTATCTATGTATCTTTGTATCTAAGTATGTACGTACGTGTGTAGGTGCGTAGGTGCATAGGTACATTGGTAACATCTGTACATTTGTACATTTGAAAGTGCATGGGATGGTATTGGATCTTGGATGGCGTACGCATGTACGTATGTAGGTATGTATGTATGTACGTACGCATTGGCATCCTTGCATCTTTGCATCTTTGCATCTCTGCATCTGTGAATCTGTGCATCAATGCATCTACGCACCTATGTACCTAATGCACCTAGGCATCTACTGCATGCATCTATGCATCTTATGTATTTATGCATCTATGCAACCATGCATCAATCTATCTATCTATCCATCCATCCATCCATCTATCTATCTATCTACCTACCGTTCTTTCTTTCTTTATTTTCTTTCCTTCCTTTCTTTCTTTCTTTCTATCTTTCTTTCTTTCTTCCTTGCTTTCTTTCTTTCTTTCTTTATTTCTTTCTTTCTTTTCTTTCTTTCTTTCTTTCTGATTTCTTTTCTGTGTGTAGTCTGTGTGTCTGCCTATCTATCTATCTGTCTATCTTTCTTTCTACATCTGTGTTTATGTATGTACTTCTGTATGCATGCATGTTTGTATGTATTCATGTACATACGTACGTACGTAAGGGTAGCTCGGTGGATAGTAAGTTTGGTAGGTAGGCAGGTAGGTGCATAGGTGGATACGTGGGTGGTATGTGGGTATGTCCTGGGTATGTCGGTATATCAATATGTAGGTATGTACGTCTGTAGGTACATAGGTACGTCGGTGCATGGGTACCTAGATACGTATGTATGCAAGTACTTTTGCACGTATGTGTGTATCTCTCTGTGTAAATCTATTAGCGACGTATCCATGCATATATGTATCGATGTATCTTTTTTGCATTTCATTACGTTGCACTGCATTACATTGCATTGTATTGCATCGCACAACATTGGACTTCATCATGTTCTTGCGTTGGATTGTGTTATTGTTTAGTAGTGCTTTACCAAATTTTATTGTACATTGTCAATTTGTACAATTTTATTGTATGCTGTATTGTAGTATACTGTGATGTATAAGAAAGACACAATTTAATTGTGTGACACAATTCTGTTCAATTGCATTACACTGCAACTATAACTACAACTACAAGTACAACTACAAGTACAACTAAACTACAGCTGCAGCTACAGCTACAACTACGACTACAACAACAACAACAACTACTACTACTACTACAAGTACAACAAGGACTACAACTGCCAATAGACTACACTACAACTACAGCTACAGCAAGAACTACAACTACAGCTACAACTACAACTACCACCACAACTACCACCACAACTACAACCCCCACTACCACTGCCACTACCACTACACTACACTACATTGCGATACACTACCACCACACCACCATTACCACTACTATTTCCACTTCAACTACCACTACCACTACGCTACAACTACAACTACAGCTAAAGTTACAACTACCACTACCACTACACTACCACTACACTACCACTACACTACCACTACACTACCACTATCACTACACTACACCACACTAGAACTACAGCTACAACAACAACTACAGTTACACTACCACTACCACTACACTACCACTACCACCACCACCACCACGACTACTACTACTACTGCTACTACTACTACTACTACGACTACGACTACGACTACGACTACGACGACGACGACGACGACGAGGACGACGACGACGACGACGACTACGACTACGACTACGACTACGACTACGACTACTACAACGACGACGACGACGACGACTACTACTACTACTACTGCTACTGCTACTGCTACTGCTACTGCTACTGCTATTGATACTGCTACTGCAACTGCAACTGCAACTGCAACTACGGCAGCCGCAACAGCTACAACTACAACTATAATTACCACTACCACTACACTACAACTACAGCTACAACTACAACTACAGTTACACTACACTACTCTACACTACACCACGCGACAATACAACTACAACTACAACGGTAACTTCAACTACAACTACACCTACACTACAGCTACAACTACAACTACAACTACAGCTATACTACAGAGTACTAGACCACACTACATCCAGCAGTTGTGGGTGGGGTGACCCGTGCAACCACTCCAAAAAGCACAACTCCAACCACCTTTCGGTCCATCGGTTCGCTCTGCCACCCATGCATCACAACAACTCACCTCTCCTATAGTTTCCTATCTTGGAAACTTCCGCCACCGCCTTGTGCGGCACTACCGGTAGGCCCAACCATCATTAGCAGTGCCCGGTTGAACTTTTTGTTGACATCCCAACTTGCCAAACAAGGGACGGCTTTGGTACTGCATCGATCCCGTGTTCCTGGAGAACGCTTTTGACAACAATCAAGTGACCAGTCAATTGCATTTCTCCTGCATGATTCCCAAGGGTCAAAGCTAGCCGATTCCACTGCTCAGGTTGGGATCTTTAGGCTTCAAATCCTATTGGTTTCAAGGTCGTTTAATCCCCAAAACTGAGATAGAAAGCACCTATCCTAGCTGCGGAGCTGGGTCAATCTTGGATACACAGAAATGAGACAATTAATGTGGTAAACCTCATAGGAAAACATCCCAAATTTTGACCGAAATGCATTGTAGAAACCATCCTCCATTGTAGGACAGTTTGACCCCGACAGTGCTGCCTTCACAATTTCCCCCTGGTAAACAAACATAGCTATTGAAAATGGTCATTTATAGTTGATTTACCCATTGAAAATGGTGATTTTCCATAGTTATGTTAGTTTACCAAAGGCTAAAAAACACAGTGCCCACCATGTTGTCCTCCATGATCTTGAAACGTTCCATGGCGGCCTCAAAGTCTTCCTGTTCAACGGGAATTTGGGTAGATTTGACCGTGGGCTACGGAGATGACCCTGGATCATTTCACTTGGTCAAAAGATGTCAAAAGTCGAGAATGAACAGGCAGAATAGCTTGGGACTGGGAGTGTATAGAGTCTGCACAGTTGTAACAAACGCCGTTGGGAATTTTACTCCCATTCTCAGTGGGTTACTACATCCTTTTCACCTTTCGGTGTCTTTCCCGTTGGTCCACAAGCAATACTCCCAGCAAGGTGGGCGGCCCCCAGTGATGTTTGTTGCTTTACAAAACCCATGAACTATAGTTATGTAAGTTATATCCTCCATAAACCATAGTTCACCAAGTTATAAGGTGGCCATCTGAAACTCTGGGAACCTCGCCACTTAGCGCGCCTTGGAGAGCAGGGTGCCCAGCTTCCTCGTTTGCCGTGCGGATTGTTTTTGGTGGTTCTAAAACGCGCCAAGCCTGGCAAATAAGTCACCAACATGCAAACATGATTGAAACTTGAGTGCTCGAAACTGGATTATCGGATAAACCAGAAAAGAACACAGAATCTGTGACTCGATACCCTCCCCCCAAAAGGAAAAAAACAATTTGCGTGGGTTATCTAATTTCCTGATGTTGATGGTTCACCCCGTCCTCCGGGAACAAAAAAAAGCTCATTGATATCTCCAGGCTCCATCGTCTATCCTTCCATGTTTTTTGCTTGGGTTACTATGTTCCCCCATGTCTTTATGCCTCAAAATGTTTATACCACGATGTTCCCCCATATTTATTCCTTCCCCCATTGTTTATATTCCCATGTTCATATGAATCCATCTTTTGCCTGGAAATCATTCCCTATGAGAAATGATGTCCATCCCCAGCAACAAAAACAGCTGGAGCCCATGAATTGCCCGCAGCCGGGGTTCTTATGGAGCCGCTGTCGAACTCGGCGCTTCATGGCCCTGTCAATGAAGGGCCGCGCCAATGGAGAAGTGAATAAACCGACGGACATACAGACAAACAGATAGAAAGGCACACAGCCAGCGAGGCAGACAGACAAACAGGAGTGATATATATATATATATATGTGTGTGTCTGTGTATCAGGATGAAAAACGCAAGATCCGGAGAATAAAACCATGGTAGAACACAGCTGAACGTGACAGGGACACGGCACTTTCCAAGCTGCAGATGCTCACTGCTGGATTGTGAGCCCTGCCAGCGGCCAACCGGATGAACCTTAAACATCCTTCAACCTTAGCCGTCTGAACATCCACTTTTTTAATGCTTGCCGAATCAAACCTGAACTGACACGTGATTTGAAGTTGCACAAGCCCAGCAGACACACTGCCATGCCCGCCATGCGTGAGGACAGTCAGTCTGCTGCGAAAGGTTCTGAGCTCGACTTACTCTCTCACATCGCACCAGAAATCCGAGTGCTGGAAAAGCAGCCGACCAGCTTGTGTGAGCTGCTAATCCCCATCTGTACAGAGGCCTACCAGAAGGACGGGAACCTCGGGGGACACGACCCGCCACCGTCAGCAGTGCACGCGCCCACGTCCGATAAAGCCGCGGCATCCCCGGGAAGCACAAAGGAGTTCAAAACCAACTCATCAAACGAACACCACTCATGTAGAACTGTGCAAGTTTGTATGTACGTACTTTATGTAATGTATGTGATGTATATCATGTATATTATATGATCAAAACTAATCTAGTGTGAAGTAAAGTAAGGTAAACCAAAAATGATGTAATGTAATGAAAGGTAATGCAATGTAAAATAATATAATGTAATGCAATAGAATGTAATAAAATGCAGTGCAATGTAATAATATGAAAGATATGAAATGCAATGTAATATAAGGCAATGCTATGTAAATCTATGTATTGTTATGTTATGTTGTGTTGTGTTGTGTTGTGATATCAATATGTGTATGTAAATGTAAATGTATATGTGTATCTATGTATATATGTATCTATGAATATATGTTTATAAATGTATATATATATACGTATATATATGTATGTATGTATGTATGTATGTATGTATGTATGTATGTATGTATGTATGTATGTATGTATGTATGTATGTATGTATGTATGTATGTATGTATGTATGTATCAATGTATCAATGTATCAATGTATCAATGTATCAATGTATCAATGTATCAATGTATCAATGTATCAATGTATCAATGTATCAATGTATCAATGTATCAATGTATCAATGTATCAATGTATCAATGTATCAATGTATCAATGTATCATGTATGTATGTATGTATGTATGTATGTATGTATGTATGTATGTATGTATGTATGTGTGTATGTATGTGTGTATGTATGTATGTATGTATGTATGTATGTATGTATCAATGTATCAATGTATCAATGTATCAATGTATGTATGTATGTATGTATGTATGTATGTATCAATGTATCAATGTATCAATGTATCAATGTATCAATGTATCAATGTATCAATGTATGTATGTCTATGTATCTATGTATCTATGTATGTGTGTATGTATGTATATGTATGTATGTATGTATGTATGTATGTATGTATGTATGTATGTATGTATGTATGTATGTATGTATGTATGTATGTATGTATGTATGTATGTATGTATGTATGTATGTGTGTATGTATGTGTATGTATGTATGTATGTATGTATGTATGCATGTATATATATATATGTATATATATATGTATGTATATATAAATGTATTTGTGTATGTGTATGCGTGTATGTAAAAAAGGTAATGTATGCAATGTAATGTAACGTAATGTAATGTAGTGTAGTGTAATGCAATGTAAACTAAATGTAATGTAATGTACAGTAATGTACGTACGTACGTATGTGTGTATTTATCTTATTTATATAGGTATGTCAATGTATGCATTCATGGGAATCATTGTGCACAGAGATATTGGCATGCATACCTAGATGTGCAAATACATTTTCATGTCTGTATATTTCGATGTCAATACATCTAAGGGCGACAGTCTGGGTTTTCATTCCCATCCCCTAATCATATTAAAGGGACCCAAGTCAAGAATATCATAATATGATCAGGGGAACGAATTATCCCCTGCATCATCCTATATCATCATTATTATCCTCATGTCTGATGGTGAAATTCTGCGTTTGATGATTAAATTCCTATGTCTGATGGATAAAGCCCCATTTCTATGATGGATAAATCACCAGTTTTTAACCCCATGTTTATTGGCTGCATGATGTTAAATGCCTTTTTTCCCATGATGATTCCTTCCCCCTCCATCCCACACCTGTTGGAGGCTTCCTGCCCCGACCGAATGGCTTGTGCCAGAATCTCATCGACAGCCTGGAAAGTGGAATGGATTGCGTTTTTCAGTCAAACATCATTGTTTTATCATGCAAGCGTGGATTAGTTACGAAATGATCAGCATATTGAAAGATTTATATCACCGAAGAAGAGGGATAAACAGGGACTATGATTGTAAAAAAACCAGAAAGGGATTCAAAAAGTTGCTTCAAGTTCTTTCAGGCCTGGAAGTTACTTTCTTTTCCATCTTGTGGGCGTCATTATGTGCAATTTATGTCAGATGATTGAAGGGTTGACAAATATGTACTGTACATACGTTAACATGTATGTGATATGTATATATATACATACGCGTATGCATATACCTATGCATGTACAGAATACATTACGCACTATACACCACACATGTTATAATAAGCTTCGGTCGTATCCCCAACAGCAGCAGTAATTTATTTTCACAGATTTTGTCGTCCGAAATTCTCTGGAACTTGACCTAAAAGCTGCGCCGACACACTCCCGGAATCGCACCGGAACCTACTTGAAGCCTCGTTGAACCTGGCCCAGCTTTGCACCAAGACCTTCCGGAACCTTCTCCAGAACCTTCTCCGGAACCTCGTTGAACCTAGCCGGGCTCTGCACCAAAGCCTTCCGGAACCTTCTCCGGAACCTTCCGGAACCTCGTTGAACCTGACCTGACGCCTGCACCAGCACACACCGGAGCATATCTGGGCTGAAGACCCCATTAGCTTACGCTGTTAGGGAAAAATATGTATAGTATAGGTTGTATAGCAACATTAGACATATACGCATTCACATGCGCTCCAGTTTGGGTCATGGCTCACTAGTAGCCTCACTACCCGATGGTCTCATTGGTGGCACCTGCCTGAAGTGAGTAGATGGATATAATGACTAACTAATACAATGTATAATATACATATGTATATATATATGAAATATCCTATATAATGTATGTAAGATATATATATATATATACACAACAAAAAAAATGTGTCATCTATAAATATCATTTGTAATTTAATCTATAGTGTAATGTATATATATACATATTATTCTATTATAATCTATGTGTTACAATTTACTTTATATTACATTGCACTATATTATAGTATATCATGTCAAAGTGTCATATGTTGTTTTATTTTGTCATATCATATCACAAAATATTATATCTTTTCAGATTATATTATATGATATCATATTACATAATATTATATTGTTCAGCACCCCCATTTCCCCACCGACACAGCTGCACCTGCAAATCCAGTGTGCCATTCTGGCTGAGGACGGTCGTTTCCTAGGCTATGGGGGTTTCCTAAGTCATGGGGGTACCCCAATAGCTGGATGGTTTATTTCATGTGGTTTCTACTGGAAAATCCACACATGAAGTGGATAAGAACTGGGGGTACACCTATTTTAGGAAGCTCTATATCCATCTACAACTGCAAATAATATTAATTGGGATAAAATCCAAATATGTCAATGGGGATACGTATGTATGTATATATATATATGTATGTACACATATAAATAGCGGGGATGTATCTGATATCCACATTTGAATGGGAATATATCAATGGTAGCGTCCTTCCAACCAATGCATTTTGTCTCTTGATGATAGTTAATGCTGATATGATCGCGTCCCACGTTCATATTAAACACCCCTCAAAACCATGGCTTGATATTTGGTACCATGTAAGGGCGTATTAAATATGACGTGGATGGGAGTATGGAATTACACTCAGTCAATTTAACGAGCACCCTGCGGACCAAAATGTGGAAAATCGGATATCACCTTGGGCCCAGGCCTGGAGTACATGTTAATGGTGCTTCCAGGAGGTTGCGACCATGCAAAATTGAAAAAATGCACTAACATAGATCCTCTGGATATCAACATGTGGAATGAATGGGAAAATACAATTATCATCAAGTATCCAAATCGAGCTTAACATAAACCTACAAAACAAGGTCCAACAAGCCCTGACAACTCTCCGACGACAATCATTAAATTCAGCATCGCATTTTTTTCGACTCCTTTTATAAAGGAACTTGTGCACAAAAAAAAGGCTTTGTTTTTTTTTTTGCGGGATATCCCGATGTTCTTGTATATGGTTGTTAAAAACAATATATCACAGTACTGCTACAGGGTCTATGTTAAGGGGAGTTCCGAGGTATTGCTAGTTAGTCAATAACGGAGGTGGCTACAAATCCATAGCCCAAAAGGCTTCACATCAGCTGGAAGAGACGAGTCAAACCAGGGCTATGTTAAGACCGTTTGCCAGAGACACAAATTCGCATATATTCCAAATCAAACAAATACGTTTTGGCGTCCCGCTTCCCCAAATCCATTCCTGTTTCAAATCCAACAAGTTTTGAAGTAGATTCTAGAACTACTACAGAGTATATGTTTATGACTTAGTTTTTCCTTTCCACAAAGGGATGAAGAAGCTGAACCTTGTCAATGTTTAAACCTCTCGCAGAGTGTCTGAAGAATGATATCTTGCGTGAACATAAGCCCTGGCACTTGCAAACACAAAATGCGGGTGGATACATGCACCCACAGAAGCTCTCTCTGTAGGGTCATATTAATGCAGTTTTGAGTTTTTTTCGTTGAAACTGGTTTAACATAAACCCTGGCAAAACCTCGCAACATGAAGAAAAGAAAACAAACGTTTTAACCTAAACCTCGGCCAAAAAATTGCTCAAAACTGAGTGTTCGTTAATTTAACCTAGAGTAGTTCAGAACCAGACATGCGTATGGGTACATTACACAGTGTGCGCGTGTGTGCGTGTGTGTGTGTGTGGACTTGGTCTCTCTCTCTCTTTCTCTCTGTGTCTACTTCTGCTTATATCTATTATTTTTTTCCAGAATTATATATACATGTACAAGTACATACAGTTGCATGTGCATATTGCAAAATGCATACTGCATACAACATATTACATCTACATCCATGTGTTGGATTGAAGTGCATGTATGTGTGTACAAATCTAAAATAATGTGTAAATACGACATATAAATGTATCCTGGCAATGTAATGTGTGAATATAGTGTGTATATATATATGTATACATACCCTTCACCGGAAGCCGCACCCAAGACCCCTAAGCCAACGCTGTCAAGGAATAAAAAAAGATCACACATGTAAATACAAAATGAAAAATAGAATATGTGAATATAATGTGTGATCATCATTAATATGCAGATATAAGATCCTAATTGCAATATGTTCAAATAAAATGTTGATATATAATATACTAATATCTATATATACATTTATGTATATATATATGCAAAGGGACGGAACGTTCGCCGTCGCTTGACGACGTGGAATCCAGTGAATGAAATCAACTTGCTTTGCAGCAGGAAGCCCTGTTTTTTGTTGCTTCCACTCACAGGTTGTGCACCCAGCATTGCGTGTCGGCTTTGAAACAGTCGCGAGGTGCCATTTTCAGAACCCCGCGTGTCAAGTCTTGACGAAATTTACCTAGGGTTTCGATCACAGTCACCAAGCCAGGTTTCCTGTGCAAGGCAGCTTGCTAAAAGTCCCAAGCGAAAGTTGACAACGTAGCATCAACAGCGTCTTAGAAGTTCCAAGAAGAAGTTGAGAGCGTAACATCAAGAGCCTGTTAGAAGTTCCAAGAAGAAGTTGAGCGCGTAACATCAAGAGCCTGTTAGAAGTTCCAAGAAAAGTTGAGAGCGTAACATCAAGAGCCTGTTAGAAGTTCCAAGAAAAGTTGAGAGCGTAACATCAAGAGCGCGCTAGAAGTTCCAAGAAAAGTTGAGAGCGTAACATCAAGAGCGTGCTATAAGTTCGAAGAAGAAGTTGAGAGCGTAACATCAAGAGCGTGCTAGAAGTTTCAAGAAGAAGTTGAGAGCGTAACATCAAGAGCGTGCTAGAAGTTCCAAGAAGAAGTTGAGAGCGTAACATCAAGAGCGTTAGAAGTTCCAAAAATGTTCAAGGGAAGATATCATAACGTAGCATCAAGCGTGCAGAAAAGTTCAATAGAAGATATCATAACGTAGCATCCTGTCTGTGTGCAAGTAGACATGAACGTTATTGCTGTCAGTCACGTAGCGTCATCAGAGAGCGAAAACCAAAAGAAAGAAACCCACCCAATTCAGGAAACAAAATGCCCAAAAAACACAAACTTGAGGGTCAACAGCAACGCACACACGTGTATTTCGCCCCACAAAAAACAGATAAAATGTGCAGGTCACTCCACAGGCTGAGGGCATAGATATAGATATATCTATATATACATACATTCATACCTTCATATCTTCATATATTCACATACTCATATATACATACATATATATATATACACACATGCACACATAGATACATATTTACATATATATACATATATATATATATAAATACATACGTATATACATAAATACATGTATACATAAAATACATAAATACATTTGTATATATATAAGTACATAAATACATAAATATATAAATACATTTGTATATATATATACATAAATACATATACACATATACACGCATACATATATATATATACATATTTATATATACATATTTATATTTATATTGCGCGTGTATACATATTTATATAGAGAGAGAGAGAAAGAAAGAGAGGGGCCCATTATATACCGTATCTGCATACGCAGACCCGGATATGTAACTATGTATATATCACCAAAATCCTCAGAACTTCAGCATGCTGCTGCCTTTTTTGGGGTATGGATTCCAGCCTCCTAATACCTTCCCCCCACATTTCAGCAGCGTTTCTGGGATCACTGTAGCACCAACACACATGGCTGGCAAGTCGGTGTTGGTTGCGGCGGGGAAACTTCTCAAGGGGACACGGCTACGGCCGTGCATTCGGTGGTCTGAACTGGTGCCGAATTTCCATGTCTTCAGGGACTTGGACGGCATGGGATGAATTTTCGTGGAGAATTGGGGGATTTGGAGCGGATTGGATACCCTCTGGTAAACGTTAACAAAAAACTATGGAAAGATCCACCATTTTCAATGGCAAAATCCACTATTTCTATGGTCATTTTCAATAGCTATGTTAAATTTCCCAGAGGGTAAGTGCTTCTGTTTTCGGGTCATCCCCAATGAGGCCTACTGTTTTTTTTGATGGCAGCTCATGTCGCAAAAAAGGTCTCCAGGTCAAAATCTGCCTGAAATTGGGATGCGAAATTACCGACTCTTGACCTTTCAAGGCAAAACATAAACTTCAACAATGTGGTAAACCCAAAATAAACCACCCCTAATTTTAAAATGAAGTGGTGCTGGAAACTGGCACACCGGAACCCACCCCAAGCGAGAGAGCATCATCTTTGATCCACAAAATATCCGACACTGATCCGGGCGAAATCGACGGCGTTCACGCGGCCACCTTCCACTGAGAACCTAAAAGTGCAACACCTGCATGGTTGAAGATGGAGAACATAACACATGTACCATGGTCAAAACATGGTATATGCTCCATGGTATTTTTTTCCCATATGGGTAGTCCTTATAATGGATCGATGATATTCCCCCAATATGGGAAAAGAATCCATTTTTTTACCATGGCACGCATGCTGATATAGCACAAATATCTAAGTACAGGTATAATATGTATATATATATATTATGTATATGCAGTATAAATATTAGTATAAATTGTGTCCATGTCGAGTCTTCTTTCAAAATTGCTGCGATGATTCATAGAAATGATCTAAACCTGGAGTTTACCCTCTGGTTATGTCAAAATAGCTACTGAAAATGGACCATTAAAAAAGTGTGTTTTCCCATTAAAAAAGGTGATTTTCCATAGTTATGTAAACGTTTACCAGAGGGTAATGTCAATGGAATTCACCACTTTGCACATCTGAAACAGCTCCAGTGGCTCAGATCATAGAGGTCGGAGGGATAAACAAACCACAGCTGAGGGGCAGGAAAAAAAATCACTTGGCAGTGGGCACAGCTAACAAGTCATGTAAATCCATGTGGCAGTGTGTCAAAACCAATAGTACCCCTGTAGTTCACATCAAAATAGCTGGGATTCATGGATGTGAATAACCCACTAAAAATGGTATTTTCATAGGTATTGATCCATACCCATGTAAATCCTCGAGCGCATCCACTCTTTGGCCAACCTTGTGGCTAGCACAGGTTATGTGTATCATTTGGCCACGCTTCCACCGCGTGAGTTGATTCGCCTATTTCGGGAGCATCGGTTTGGCATGCTCCACGCCAGCAATTTGGTGGCGCGGCGCAAGGTGACAGCCGATGGCGGCCATCCATCCCCTAGGACCGATGTAAACCTGATGTTTCCTGCCAGGGGACGAACTGCACGAGCTCAATATCTCAATGCAGCGCTTGAAACTTTCAAATCAGTGACCGGGCAAATTTGGAGAAGCAAAAAACTTTGCAATTTAGGGCAGATCTAGCATGATTTAGCTATGTTTGGGGCAACTGGTCCCATTGCCAAAAGTTTCTGTTGAGAACAAATCATCGCCTTGGCCACCGGTTCACAGTTGTCACTGGGATCATGAGTCCACGAGGCCCCAATGATTTTGCTTCGGGGCAATCCCTGCAAGTCTGTGACTTCAAACTCCAAGCAGAAGGAACGACAAATAAAAATAGAAAGCCAGGATCAACTCATGTTCAACTGGTTGGTGGTTTCAAACCCACCTGGGCAATATCTGTTAGTTTTGCTGCAAAATAGGGAGCTCAGTTTTCACATCAAAATAGCTGGTGTAGCTGGATGGAAAATCAGTGGTGTTTGACCCATCTCCATTTGTGTTTGACCGTGGTCGCTTGGAGAGGTCTGCCAAATGTAGCCTTGAACTTGATGTGTAAGCAAGAACAGGTGGTATAGGCGTCTATCTATGTCTAAAATGTGTATGTCTGTATGTATCTGTATCTATATCTATATCTATATATATATATATTCATATCAATGCGCATATTTATATATTTATATATAATATGTGCATATTCATATATCATTCACACATCTGTATTTATACTGTGGCAAACGCAATAAACCATCCCATCAGCCATCTGGGTGTCATTCCAGCCATCATCCAGCCATAGGAATTGTTCCGTGCCATATACCCCAGAGGAATGTTTATTATTGGATTCACCACATATGAATGAATGAAATGAATGATTCACCACATACACATATTCTGTTGAGCTGTCGAGCTTTCTTCCAACCCATCGTCCCATTCTGACCTGTCATGCTGCAATGCGACGAGACACCCGCAACATTTTGTGCGGCCGTTCTGCATGGTTCCGAGTAGCGCACGCGTTCAGCGGGATGATCGTAGCTGTAGCCCATGGTCAATGCGTATATGTGGAACCCCTCGGTTTACAATGGATGAAAACATGATGCTAATTCTTCATCCTTAAAAAAGCACCAAGCGTTATTCGCCCTTAGACATATCAAACACGATGAAACATGAATCGACGAAGGTTTGATTGGCAGCATTGGGAGATTCACTCTGATTCCAACACCTAGACTATGAAGCGTTTGTCGAAAAATGGATCGGCTACCAGGTACCAATGGAGTCATGTTCTGCTTGGTGTTTTCAGAGAAACATCCAATTGTTGGGGGTTCATATTTTTTAGAATCACAGACTGCTGTTTAAACGACAAAGCCCGTCACCGGGAGACGGGCTCGACGAGCTCCTGGGCAGCCAGAGTTCGGTTCCTTGTTTGTGCAGCCTGTATATGACAAGTATGATGAAGAGCATTACATAAATATCTATCGTATATAGATATTATATATATATATATATGCTAGCCCCCAAAGATCTACCTTTTTGAGCTTAGTCGGGGTTGCCATGGATCAAAGATTTATCAGAGGGATACCATTATATACAATGGTTTAGTATTCTTCTAAGATCGGGGGGTCAACACACTTCAATGAAGATAAACCTTGAATCTGGAATCTTGTACAGTATCCAAGAAACTTTGCAAAGTCTGGAAGGAGGATCTGGAGTCAAAAAGATTTCTCGGAATCTTGAATCCAGGAAACTATGCAAAGTTTGCAAAGTTTCCGGCGTATAATGTGTAGATTGGCTCATCACCCAGAAACTTACTTAAAACCATGGGAAGAAATACAACACAGCTACAACTTGAAAATAGAATAAGCAAACAAGTTTCAGCATGGACTTTGAAGTTTTGCTTCAAAAGCAAAATCCTCCAATATATGCCTTGCGAAGCAATAGTTTTCAAAGTGACATTCCTTGCATAAAGTGGCATAATTTTGAACAGTCCCCGTATATAAAAGAGCGCAGCACTTCTTTGAAAGGAGTATAAGGTTATTTTCAAAGAGACTTACAGCTGTGCAAAGTTCTTTAAAGAAGTAAAGGAATCTATGGAAGGAAGACAGCATTGTTTCAGAATCGAATCCTTCCAGTATCCATTTCAAACCATTATGGTATTCCTTAAATAAAGTGTTTGTGAAAATATGGGCAAAGCTTCCTTCACGAGAGGGTGAGCCATTTGGTTGAACAGCATGCAATAATACATAGAAGCACTACTATGAAATAGAACCCTTGGGTGTATGGAGTCCCTGTTTGAAAGAAACAGGTCTTGGTTGTATGTGTGCAATATACTAAAGGTATATTACGGGTTTATTAAAATGATTATTATTATTATTGAAGGTATATTTCAAGGTATGCGAATGTTATATAAAACAGTATGCTACAGGTATATCGAATGGTATTGTCAAGGTGTATTAGATAGCTTTTCAAGGGTATAATAAAGGTATATCAATAATAAACGTGATTTCATGGTGAACGCAGTGGTATATTGAAGTTATATTGAAGAAAAACAAAGTGTAGTCATGATATATTGAAGGATATACTAAAGGTATATGATATGTTATATCAAATTCAAAATTAGTTCGCAAGGAATACCAACGGAGTTTAAAAAAATATCTTAAAGCTATGGATATATTTAAAATATGCGTTCAGGGTATTTTCATGTTTTGTTGCATGGTATACTAGAGGTATATTGAATAGTATATTGAAGGTGTAGGAGTATGTATGTATATATACATATATATATATACATATATACATACGTATATGTATACATATATATATATATACGTATATATATATATACATATGTACATATACATATATATATACATACACATAATTATTGAAGGTATCTTCAACTCATACTAAAAGTATTTTCGAGGTCAAGTAAATGGTATATCAAAGGTAGATTCCAGGTATATCAAATGGTATACGAAAGGTATATTAAATTGTATATCAAAGGTATATTACACGTGTATTAGATAGTATTTGACAGGTATGTCAAAGGTACTTGAAAGGTATCCTAAAGGTGTAATAGATTCAAGAACATGGCCCTGGCCAATAAATGTGTGTTTAAAGGTATACTACAGGTATATCACATGGAATTTAAAAGGTATATTGATGGTTATTACATTGTATTTAAAAGCCTTATTAAAGGTATATTCAAGATACAGTATGTTCATAGTCAATAGAACGGTATGGTAAAAGTATATTGAAGCTATAGTACAGGTATATTCAGTGTATATTGAATATGTTTGATCAAAACATTATTCTTACTCTGTTACCCCTACTTCATCAAACAACAAACAAAAAACATGTTGTACAACAGAAATGAGAGGAAGGCTGAGCTTCATTAAAGGATGCACTGCATCCTTTTTTGGTGCGAGGATATTACTTCTTATTTAAGGGAATATCTTTTGTTCAAGGCAGATCGTAACCTGTAAGCAGCATTCTTGCGAACCGAAACCTCTTTAAATTGCTGATCCTGTCCTCTCTTCTTGCATGCAATAAGAAAAAATGTAACATGTATATGTGGATTTGTCTCAAAACGGGCTCCACCCGCAGTTATGGACTTCTAATAGAAAACCCATGATCCACCTTGGGATTTGGTTCCAAGTCGATGGACTTTCTTGACATTCATCATCTGGAGATATCTGGAGTGTCCGGTTCGATCATCCACTGATACGCTGATAAACTGCGGTGGCCAAAAAAGAATGGTACCCGAAATGTCAAGACAAGAATCTGCTTAGACTCAGCACCTGAAAGCTGTCGGGGTCCCAGATTTTTGAGGCCAATTTGAAATTTGAAATTTGTCCCAAGTCGCTCGCGGTTGATTCACGCGGCAAAAATTGTCTGGGCCACGACCACCAATGCCAAATCAAAGGACAACCCCACTACTACGATTCCTTAGGTGAGCCCAGTTCGCCCCAGATTTTGCCAGGGGGCTTTCCGGGTCGGCTTGAAAGATGGGATGGAAGACTTTTCCCCTGTTCATTGTGGATATGAAACCAGCTTTGATCAGCCAGATTCTAAAAAACAAAAATAAACTCATGATCACCCAACTTGAAGTGGAGTAACCGTGTTTTTGCAGGATTGAATAAAGAGAAAACATCAGGTTTTCCTCGGCGGGTTGATCCTTACTTTCTCTTCCATTTCGGCTGACCCTCGCAACTAAGGAGGACTGATGGTGATCAACGACTTTCTGTTGTACAACCCAGCCCAGACAAGTTAACTCAGCAGCCCAAGCCGTTGAGGAGAGTTGCAGTTTGTTGCAATCCTCAACTTGTGGAATTCGACCAGCAGGTCAAAATTCAACTGGGTTTTGATGTTTCTTGGGTGGTCGAGGCTTCAAACCACAGCTTCAAAGGCAGTTGAACTGCTCAAATGAATTTGCCAGATGTCTGCGCGTGAGTGGAGATCGACTAAAAAATCAGGATCGACTGTCTGGAGAACCTGAATGGAAATTGACATCGAAAATCAGCCACATGCCCCTATTTTTTCTCTATAAACTAGGTGCAACATACAGGACCTCTAAACTCTGCCTCATGTGGGGACTACTATGGGAATTCACAAATTTTACCCACATGAAAGGATACTTTTTTGGGACGGCTTTCATTAACGAACTGGTGCCAAAAACTAGGACATGTATGTGTGTATACATATATATATATATTATATATATATATGTAATATTATATATGCATTATGTATACATGTGTATATACACATAATATTATCATGCCAGGTTGAAAATATCGATATGCTTCAGACACCCTTGCTGCGGGCAGCAGGCACGCCCCAGCGGGCTATCCGTCTAGTCATCTGCGGCTCAAGAGCCTTTGATCGGGGGAACCAGCAGCCCCACTGTCGATGCGGCTCCAAATCAGGCTCTGCAACTGGGACAACTGGGACACTGACACTGACACCCGAAGTGTGATTTTACAGTATCGTTGGATTGGTTTAAGGGAAAATCTACAGGAAAGCCCTATGTTTCATGGTAAAAACCATGGTTTCCTGTAGATTTTCAACCAATCCATTGACAGTAACATTTTTTCGACGAGAAAATCAGGATAAATTGGTGGATTTGGGAATGCCCAATTGTTGGCCGCGACCCATCCCATCGAGAGCATCGGGACCCTTTTCAGCGGATGTTTGTTGGGAAAACCCTTTGATCAGCAAAATCGCAATTTCGTTGGTGAATTCCCTAATTTTGTTGAGAAAAGGAGCAGTTGTTTGTGGATATATATATATAGTATGCACACCATATTCTTCTTGGACAGTCGGTCGGTTTCTCTGTGTTGAAAAAAGCAAATGCTTGTCAACCCTCAGTATCTGTTGATAAAACCCCAGGTCTGCTGGCAGTCATTACCCATGATTATTTTTTTTTGGCAAATTTGCTCGGTCTTTGTGGAAGTCTGAATCTTAAGTCTTAACCCCATGTTTTTCTTGCTTTCCCTCATGTTTCTTCTTGAAACCATGAGATGTTTGTTGGGGAAATGCCTATTCTTCTTGGTTAAAATAAATCTTGGTTGCTTTAGATGTGTATACATATACATATCAAACTATATCTTTGTTGATCCTCCTTTTGCCTCTTTCAAATAACCCCTGTTTTGGTTGGTAAACCCCTCAAGTTTCGAGTTGTGAGTTGTACAGCACCGGACACGGCTGTGGCTCAAACTGATTTGCCCGCACATTTTGCATGACTCAGAACACATTAAACCACGATCACTATGGTATACTATTGAATTCAATGCTATATAAACACTTGTTCCTGGAACTGCACCTCCAGGTATGATATCATCAAAACATTGTGAGCAGTGTTCAAAACCCTCTGTCGTTTCATTGTACTGGTTGGTTAAGAACGGGAGTCGCATCATGGCTAGCGAAAATCCCCAATATACTGAATACTATAATCCCCGAACTAAACATCAACCCACAGGGGGGTTGCACACTCCTCTGATGTCTGATGATTTTTCTACACTTTGTGGAGCCATCCCTCCACATGTTCCATGCATGTCTCCGAAGCAAATAGGTATTCCCAGGAAACGAAATAAGCAAAAGAGGCTAGATATCTTAGATAACCTAAAAAGTTACAGGCTGAAGCGGAGCAAAAGCCAAAAAAAACCATGTGATTTCGGGACCTGACATTTGTAGAACTCTCCATGTAAGGCCTTGTTTTCCTACATCGACATGTGGAGCCCCACAGGGGCATCAGATTTCGTGCTCATGCCACACCGTGAAGTCTGGTTCTCCCCACCTGGGGATATTTTGACGGGCAAATTGCGCTGGTGGAACCTGAATTGATGTCCCTCTCTCAGTCCGTTTTGTGCTGCAAAATCTATTTCTCACTGGGAAAGTACCAGGGTTTTCATGTCCACTTTTTACAACTGCTGGGTACATAGCCCAGGTGGTCGAAAGTCCCTAAACTTGAACTATCCCGATTAAGAGTGGATTACTGCATCACTTTTTCTTGACCAGCTAGCTGGGATGCTCATCCAGGAAGCTTAGGAAGACATTTAAGTAATGTTCAAAACTCTCTGTCATTGACTTGTATTGATGATAATAATCCCCAATATATTTGGTAGGTGAAGATATTGTCAAGAATATGTCTTGGAGGTTCATGTTGAATATTTTGATGTTTTGATTTACATGAGGATGATAACACTTTCATGAACGATGCGTCATGGTGATGAGTTGCATGTATATGTGGGACTGACCATGAGGATGGCAATGAAGAATGTCCCTATGGATCCCTATGACCATCATCGTGAAAATGAGGACAATGAGGACAGTAAAGAGAAGGATGACAAGGATGAGCAGCATGATGAGGATGAGGAGGAGGAGGAGGGCATGAGGAGGGCATGAGGGTGGCATGAGGATGGCATCAGGACAACGTGGATGCTGACGAAAAATTGAAAACGGGATACATGCTACCAGCCGCAATGCTGGAGAGAGTGCTAAGGGCGGGCAGATAGTAAAACCCACCAACATCTGCTGGAATCTTCCAACTGATCACAGCATCAACAACTCTCAACAACTTTCACCACGAGGGGAAACCTCAAAACGAAGCTGAGACCAGGACATCTGCAACAACCAAGGCACGTAGGGCCCAAGAGATGAACTGTACCGGAAAGGCCAAAGGGCCACCAGCAGCATGGGGCTGGTGCAGCCGGAGCAGAGCTGTGGCGATCGGTCTAGTGAGTCTAGTTCCTGGATTTATGACGGGTCATCCCCCAAAATATGGTATATTTGGTATAATTGGTATACAAAATATGATATAATTGATATAATATGGTATAATCAATGTACAGTCTATATAGGATTCGCAGGCTTTGGTCCCCTTTAAAAAAAAGACACACAAAATTTCTTCACCCGCCATTGCAGCGCCCCGGTTCTCTTAAAAAGACAGGCGATGCCGATGCCACTTTCCCAGCGTTGGTGCAAGAGAAAATGTACATGAAACCCCCAAGATCCCCAAGTGCTTTTGGATGGTCAAATGGTACCCTCTGGTTATGTCAAAATAGCTACTGAAAATGGCCATAGAAATAGTGGATTTTCCCATTAAACATGGTGATTTTCCATAGTTATGTTAGTTTACCAGAGGGTAAATCTGGTTTAAATCCATTATTTCCTGTCGACTTTTTCCCTTCACCAACCCTGTTCGTTAGTTCGACTAACCCTGGATCGATCTCAAAGAGACTTGCTTCGACGGCGTTGCACCTCACCAAAACTGCAGCGGCTGGAGATTCGTCCAAAATTTTGGCAAGTTCGGCTGGGGAAACTCTGACGCCGACTATGACTCAACTCCTGCTTTTGGGCGGGCATCCCGCATCATTTTTCGGCCGAGACACATGGGTACGCGTGTTGAACTGGATGAAAGTGCGCTCCACCGGCAAGGGGCCCTGAAACGGGATCCACATGAAAATCCCGACGCTTCAGTGTGCCCAGTTCACCAGCCCTTGAATTTTATGGTACTAATCCCCACTTCCAGGTGGTCGCAAAAACATCCCGTGGCTGGAAAACCCCTCGGATTGAGCATTGGTGCTGACTAGGGGATGAACTATGCTCCAAAATGTGTTTCATGGATTATTTTGGCCAAATCATGGGTGAAATGCCTGGCACGACATTCCCGTCTCGGGCCCTTTTTCAGTGGCAAGGTCGACCATTTGGATTGTTTTTTGGTCTCAAATTTAGAGTACCGGAGACCATGGATGAAATTTCGGGGTTTCTGGTGTTCACTTCAGATCCCTTGGTTGAAACCATCCAATCCTCTGGTTTCTCCATCACAATCCCATTCTGGACCTCGGATGTGGCTCGGACCCACTCAATGCGGAGGTCGGTGAAACTCTCAAGTTCCGCCTGAAGTCATGTCATGTCATGCATGGATGGGTGGGTGTATGTATGACATTTACTTATATTATATATAGAGAGAGAGAGATAGACTTATGCATGTATGCATGTATGCACGTATGCATGTACGCATGTATGCATATGCATGTACGCATGTATGCATGTATGCATGTATGCATGTATGCATCTATGCATGTATGCATGTATGCATGTATGCATGTATGCATGTCTGCATGTATGCATGTATGGATGCATGTATGCATGCATGCATGCATGCATGTATGTATGTATGTACTTATGTACGTACTAATGTATGTACATATGCATGCATGTATGCATGTATGTATGTATGTGCGTACGTACGTATATATGTATGTACGTATGCATGCATGCATGTATGTGTATACATATCTATATAATTCTATATAAGTATATCTATATATGTATTCACATATATTTACATATGCATGAGAAAGATTGAGCAAGTAGATCGGCAGCAGATTGACACATGAAACAGACATACTATGGTCCACACGGATGGCCGAGGCAATTCCCACAAATCAAACCAAACTATGCACGATAGCACCGCCAAATCTCGAAAGTGTCCACAAAATAACACAAGGATAATGATTGGTCAACATATCCTCAAAAGTTGGAAGTTGAACGTTCTACCCTGAAACCTACCAAGGACTCTCACAAAATAGTCAACTGGAAGATCACTGGTGGAAAGGACATGAAAAAGGTTGCAAATGGCTCAAAATCACACATCAAAACGGATGATTTCACATCAAAAAATGAATGTGGAGGGGGAAGCACCGCCCATTGTAGCTTACAGAAGACTTGTTCTTGTTCAAAGCCTCTTTGCCGGTGATATTCCCAATTTGGTGGCGAAATTAGCTTTGCAACCCAACAGCAGGTTCAAAGAGTCCAGGCTTGATTCTTCCACGAAATGGCCAGAGGCAAAGCAACCGCAAAACACCATCGAGCTGTTTCAAGTGGAGAAATCAAATCGTGATCCACAGCAAAGCTTCAACTTTACACCTTTACAAGGGTTCCAAGATTCAAAGATGTTCACAAGGCTTTAGGTTTCCAGCCATGGTAGCAATTGTCCAAGGTTGCAAAACGCGAGAGTTTCGGGGTTCCACAGTTCCATGACTCCAGAGCTTAACATTTCCAACGCTCCAAGTTTCCTGTGCCCAAGAGGTTCCATGGACCAAGGGATCCATACTATGAGAGTCCCAAAATTCAACGATTCAAGGGTTCCCAAGCTTTAAGGTTCCCAGTGCAAGGTTTCCACGATTCAAGGCCAAGTACCAAGGTTCCAGACTTGCAAGGGTCTAGGGCCTAGGACCTAGGATTCCAGAGTTCCCGGAGGTTCGATGGTTCCAAAGTTCCAAGGTTGCACGGTAAAGGGCAAGGCTCTAAGCGTGCAGGCTTCCAGGATTCCAAGGTTGCAGGTCTCAGGGTTCCATAGGACTGCAGGGTTCCAGGGCTCCAGGATGAATGCCAAAGTGTTCGATTACAGGGTTCCAAGACGTCAGGGTCGAACCCCAAGGCCCCAGGATCCCAAAAGGGTTCCAGGTTTCCAAGGTTGCATGGTTCCAGGGTTCCAGCGTTCCAGGGTTCCGTTGCGTTCCTCTTTGGTGGGGGTTCTGCAAAAACCAGCGCACCACTCCTAGACCCAGAGATTGAAACCCAACAGTCACTGCTGTTGCTTGACTTGTAAAAATCGTCATTGCTTGCCTGTTCACATCATCATTTGTAGGTAAAAATCCCGTGTTCGTTGTGGAAATACATGTTTTGTTGATTTGCGCAAGAATCCATATGTTTGATCTCTTAAAATTACATTTGCTGGTTAAACTCTTATTTTTACCTGTTAACTTCCCAATTTTGTTGCCGGGTAATATCCGTTGATGGTTAGGTCAAATCAGTATGTGCCAGGTCATTCCGTTTCTACCCTCAGCATCCGAAACCTCGTCATCTGTTGTGGTCTCAGACTCCGATTGGGCCTGAAAGGGATTGAAAAGGTCGCAAGGATTTGGATACCAAGAAACATGGCTCAACCACTGGTTACCTGGCTGATAGGGGCTAGTCTGAAATTGGGATTCCTGTCTGGGATTCCACAGCACCTTTACAGATAATTGGTTGAGATGCCCATCAAAAACTAGGGAATTAACTGACAAGACCTTGGTTTACGAGGGTTTCAACGAACCAAAAAAAAAAGGATTGAACCAACCAAGAATTGGGGAACTTTTATCTAGGTAATGAATGAGGGATGTAAGGAACCAAAAATGGCAAGATGATAGTCAGGTTAGCATCAACTGCAACTTGGGCACAATGTGCATATCTAAATATATATATATAAAAACGTGTAAGCAGGTACACATCCATATGCAAGTACATGGTGATAGATATATATATATATATACATATGATAGAGTGACATATAGTATAAATAGATAGACATATAGATAGATAGACAGAGAGATAGACAGATAGATAGACAGATAGACAGATAGATAGACAGATAGATAGACAGATAGATAGACAGATAGAAAGATAGATAGACAGATAGATAGACAGATAGATAGGCAGATAGATAGACAGATAGATAAACAGATAGACAGACAGATAGATAGACAGATAGACAGGGAGATAGACAGATAGATAGACAGATAGACAGATAGATAGACAGAGGGATAAACAGAGAGATAGACAGAGAGATAGACAGAGCGATGGACAGAGAGATGGGCAGAGAGATAGACAGAGAGATGGACAGATAGACAGATAGATAGATAGACAGATAGATAGACAGAGGGATAGACAGAGAGATAGACAGAGAGATAGGCAGATAGACAGACAGAGAGACAGACAGAGAGACAGACAGAGAGACAGACAGAGAGACAGACAAAGAGACAGACAGATAGACAGATAGATAGACAGATAGAAAGACAGATAGATAGACAGATATCCAGATAGTTAGACAGATAGATAGACAGATAGATAGAGATATAGACAGATAGATAGAGATATAGACAGAGATATAGCCAGAGAGATAGACAGAGAGATAGACAGAGAGATAGACAGATAGATGGACAGAAAGATGGACGGAGAGATAGACAGAGAGATAGACGGAGAGATAGGCAGAGAGATAGGCAGAGAGATAGGCAGAGAGATAGACAGAGAGATAGGCAGAGAGATAGACAGAGAGCTAGACAGAGAGATAGACGGAGAGAAAGACAGAAACATAGACAGAGAGATGGACAGAGAGATAGACAGAGAGACAGACAGAGAGATGGACAGAGAGACCGACAGAGAGACAGACAGAGAGATAGACAGAGAGACAGACAGAGAGATAGGCAGAGAGATAGACAGAGAGATAGGGAGAGAGATAGACAGACAGAGACAGACAGACAGACGGACGGACGGACGGACAGACGGACACAGACGGACACAGACGGACACAGACGGACACAGACGGACACAGACGGACACAGACGGACACAGACGGACACAGACCGACACAGACCGACACAGACCGACACAGACCGACACAGACCTACACAGACGGACACAGACGGACACAGACGGACACAGACAGACACAGACAGGCACAGACAGACACAGACCGACACAGACCGACACAGACCGACACAGACAGACACAGACAGACACAGACAGACACAGACAGGCACAGACAGACACAGACAGACACAGACAGACACAGACAGACACAGACAGACACAGACAGACAGACAGACAGACAGCCGGCCAGACAGACAGACAGCCGGCCAGACAGACAGACAGATAGACAGATAGACAGATAGACAGATAGACAGACAGGGAGACCGACAGAGAGACAGATAGACAAGGAGACAGAGAGATGGACAGAGATGGACAGAGATGGACAGAGATGGACAGAGATGGACAGAGAGATGGACAGAGAGATGGACAGAGAGATAGGCAGAGAGATGGACAGAGAGATGGACAGAGAGATGGACAGAGAGATGGACAGAGAGATGGACAGAGAGATAGACAGAGAGATAGACAGAGACATGGACAGAGAGATAGACAGAGAGAAGATCGACAGAGAGATGGACAGAGAGATAGACAGAGAGATGGACAGAGAGATAGACAGAGAGATGGACAGAGAGATAGACAGAGAGATGGACAGAGAGATAGACAGAGAAATGGACAGAGAGATAGACAGAGAGATGGACAGAGAGATGGACGGAGAGATAGACAGAGAAATGGACAGAGAGATAGATAGAGAGAAATGGACAGAGAGATGGACGGAGAGATGGACAGAGAGATGGACGGAGAGATGGACAGAGAGATAGACAGAGAGATAGACAGAGAATGGACAGAGAGATAGACAGAGAGAAGATCGACAGAGAGATAGACAGAGAGATGGACAGAGAGGACAGAGAGATAGATCGACAGAGAGAGATAGAGACAGAGAAGATGGACGAGAGAGATGGACAAGAGATATACAGGAGAGATAGACAGAGAGATGGACAGAGAGATAGACAGAGAGAAGATCGACAGAGAGACGGACAGAGAGATAGACAGAGAGATGGACAGAGAGATAGACAGAGAGATGGACAGAGAGATAGACAGAGAGATGGACAGAGAGATAGACAGGGAAATGGACAGAGAGATAGACAGAGAGATGGACAGAGAGATGGACGGAGACATGCACAGAGAGAGACAGAGAGATAGACAGAGAGATGGACAGAGAGATAGGCAGAGAGATAGACAGAGAGATAGACAGAGAAATGGACAGAGAGATAGACAGAGAGATGGACAGAGAGATGGACGGAGACATGCACAGAGAGAGACAGAGAGATAGACAGAGAGATGGACAGAGAGATAGGCAGAGAGATAGACAGAGAGATAGACAGAGAAATGGACAGAGAGATAGACAGAGAGATGGACAGAGAGATGGACGGAGACATGCACAGAGAGAGACAGAGAGATAGACAGAGAGATGGACAGAGAGATAGGCAGAGAGATAGACAGAGAGATAGACAGAGAAATGGACAGAGAGATAGACAGAGAGATGGACAGAGAGATGGACGGAGACATGCACAGAGAGAGACAGAGAGATAGACAGAGAGATGGACAGAGAGATAGGCAGAGAGATAGACAGAGAGATAGACAGAGAAATGGACAGAGAGATAGACAGAGAGATGGACAGAGAGATGGACGGAGACATGCACAGAGAGAGACAGAGAGATAGACAGAGAGATGGACAGAGAGATAGACAGATAGATGGACAGTGCGATCGATGTAGATGTAGTTCTAGATGAGATTCCGGCACGGGCTCGCCTTCGAGGAGGAGGAAGGCTCCTCCAGCTCCAGGGAGGGCATGTCCTCCTGCTCCAGGAGAACTGCTGATTCAACCATGGGAAAGTGTTAGATTTCACCCATTTAACCATCAAGAATCATGACAAATGATGATTTAGCCATCAGCATTTATGGAAAGTTGGGGAGTTAACCACCAAGAAAAGATAGAATAGTTGAACACCTGCAAATATGAGATAAATCATCGAACCACCATCCTGGTTGCACACTTTTCGGCGCTTACTATAATGGGATTTAATGGAATGTCATGGGATAAAAATTGAAAAACCCTGGGAAACCACATACTTGCACTCCTTCAGTCTAGAAGCGTGTGTCTGAAAATGGATACCACCAAATGGTCATCAAACGGCTTGGTCATTTCCTGGAATTTGATGCTATTTAATCGGTATGTAACCCTATAAGTTGGGATATGGGAGCCCCATTGTCCTGGTTGTGTATATATATATACACCCTCCCGCAAATTGACATAGAGCCTGAAAATAGCCCGTATTTAGAGGAAGGTAATTTTTCATTTTCCATTTTTTTTGCCGGGTCTTTAGTTGGGTGGACGGTTAATTTTATCAAAGATGATCCAGAAATCACGGAATTCTGTAGGTACAGCATGACTATAAACTCATTGAACCATGGGAAAATTGGAGAAACTCACCAGCAATTCTATCGGGATTATGGGGCGCCCTTTATGGGGTAACGGCATATACTTGTGGGTAATGAATGAACACACGAAATATGAAATACAGTAACGAATTCAAGAAAAAACACATGGAAGACAACTGGAAAACAATCTGCGAACGTTTTGATGGGACCCAATGGTACACGAGAAGCGATGAGTAGCACAGGAAAGCATGCCCAATTTCCAGATTTGCCCAGGATAAGGTAGAGGTCAATGACAAGAAATATCCTGGTGAAAACTATTGAATTTCGTGAGCCCTGATTTTTAGAAGAAAATAAGTGGTGGAAACCACCCTGGTCAGGAATAAGTGTTGAAAACTACCTGGGAGTAAAAACACACCAACGTACAAGATTCAAACCCTGGTGGTTTCATGAGGGGCTGCCTTCCTATATGTGCCAATGATGATATCAATGATATCTAAAGTGATTTCTTGAAATTCATGGACCCCTTTGCCAGCCCCTGACACGCTGATGACTCTTTCGCCCTTGATGGCACCTCCCTGGTGTCAAGACCGTCTTTGCTCCAAAAACTTCTGTTTCCCTGCAACTTATCCAAGAAAAGTTTGTAGAATATTGAGAAATTCAATCAAACATGTAGTTGATGGCTTCCACTTACTTCCAGGTATGATTGATGTGTCAGTGAGTTGGCGCTGAAATGTGCTGCAAAGAACAGGGTAGAGTCACTGATACTTCAAACTTCTAACAAATCGGGCAACCTGAAATAGCAAAACATTTCCCAAAACATGTTGCACTTGTTCAGACAAGATGTCTGGGACATCTTAAAATAGTTTGTAGATTATCTTTTGAAAAGTTTGCCACAGTCGGTCTGCAAAAACATTTTAGGCTGTTTCTCCAGGAAATTGCTGAAAGTTTGAAGCCCGATGTCTCTCCAAACACCTTACCTGAAAAAAAAATGTATCCCAACAATCTTGGCCTGTCTCCTTGACATCTTAACATGTCTCTCAGACATTTTGCCTGGACAAAAAGCAAGATGCCTCACAGGCAAGGTAATATCTTAACATTTCTCACAGACATTTTGCCTGAAAAAAAGGCCAAGATGTCACCCAGACATCTGAACGTGTCTCTCAGAATCTTGCGAGAAAAATGTCTCCCAGACATCTTAACATGTCTCTCTGAAAACAATGCCGAGGTGTCTGCATAAGAAATCTTAACATGCCTCTCAGGCATCTTGCCTGAAAAAATGCCAAGATGTCTCCCAGACATGTTAACATGTCTCCCAGACATCTTGCCGGACAAAAATCCCAAGATGTCTCCCAGGCATCTTGACATGTCTCTCAGAGACCTTGGCTGAAAATCATGCCAAGGTGTCTCCCAGACATCTTAACATGTCTCCCAGACATCTTAACATGTCTCTCGGACATTTTGCCTGAACAAAATGCCAAAATGTGTCTCAGACAACGTAAGATGTCTCCCAGACATCTTAACATGTCTGGGAGACATATTATTTTTCAAATATTTTTCTGTGCGTTCCACCACTTATTTTTAGTGGAAAAAAGTGTTTCCACCACTTATTTTTTGCCACCTTCGACTGTTCCACCACTTCTGATAATACAAAAAAACTGCACGATGTCTGGGCGACGTGGTAAGATGTCTGGGAGACATTTTAAGATGTCTGAGAGACATCTTGCCACATTTCTTCTGGTACTGGTAAGATGTCTGGGAGACATGTTAAGATATCTGAGGGGCATGTTAAGATGTCTGGGAGACATGTTTTTTCTAAGCAAGATGTCTGAGAGACATGTTCAGATGTCTGGGGGACATGTTAAGTAAGCTGTCGGAGAGATATGTGGGAGACATGTTAAGATGTCTGGGAGACATCTTGGCATTTTTCTCAGGCAATGTGTCTTGTATTTTTCTTTCAGCCAAAATGTCTGAGAGGCATGTTAAAATGTCTTGGAGACACCTTGGCATTTTTCAGGGAAAATGTTTGAGAGACATGTTCAGATGTCTGGGAGACTTTTTTTTTAACGGGCAAGATGCCTCAGAGATATGTTAAAATCTGTGGGAGACATCATGTTTTTTTTTTCCGGCAAGATGTCTGAGAGGTATGTTAAGATGTCTGAGAGACACGTGAAAGTATCTGAGAGACAGTTTGGCATTTTTTTCAGGCAGGATGTTTGCGTGCCATGTTAAGACTGTTAAGATGTCTGGGAAACATGTTAAGATGATTGAGAGACATCTTGGCATTTTTTCAGGCAACATGTCTGAGGGACATGTTAAGATGTCTGGGAGACATGTTAAGATGTATGAGAGACATTTTGGATTTTTTGAACGTTCAATATATCGGTCAACTTAGTCAACGTGTCTGTCAAAAAATCAAGTTTTCTTTTACTGTTTCTCCAAACCTTAAAAACCTTTCTAACACAATTTCCCACACAGTTCATATCAACATGTCACTTCAGAAACCTTTGCCTCTGGAGATGCCTTGAGATTACATTCCACAAATCCACAAACAAAAAAACTTTTTTGATAAGATGTTTCACCAGGGAAATCATCTCAGTCTCAGTCAATTCAGTTCGTGTCGGTCGACAATGTTCAGCTTTGACTCTTGGGCCGTGCTTTTGACCCCTTCAACATGTGCTTGCTAAGGATACACAATGAGAAACAAAATTCATGAGTAGAGGAAAACGAGGAAATACATTTTGGACATGTAAGAAAACTGTTCCACTACTTGTTGGATTTCCAAATCGGAACACACCCCACTCACGCAATTCAACAGTGAAAACCCCATTTCATATTCCTCAAAACTCCAATCCGCCGGGGTTGTTTGGTTGAATTCCAATATCCTGGAACGGTTCAATCCACATTTTTGCATGTTAAATGCTGATTTTGGGTGAATGTTATGTAGCAAAAACGAAAACCAGAGAGAGAGAGAGAGAGAGAGAGAGAGCCCTTTTGGATGAATCACCGCTAATACTTCAGGGTAGCTGAAAAAACACTCCTGATCTTCACATAGAAAATGAAGTACAAGTACATTTCAAGCGCGCGCTTCCAGTATACTGGTTTACCACGGGTACTGCAACTCAAATATGCGATCAGATTTGGGCATTTTGTTGTGTTAACCGTTCCATTTCTGGGGTATCCAATTTTGATCCATACCCATATATCATAAAAGTAGCTAGGATGGACCAACCGTCAAGCGCCCTGCTGGTCCTCAGCTTCTTTCTTGTCAGTTGAGGCCTGGAACTGTGCAGTGCGTGCATGCAATCTCATGAAGCTGGGATGTTGGATATGCCATGCAGTGTACTTGTGTGTATATTTAAATACCTACATACATACGTACATACATAACATAACATAACATAACATAACATAATATAACATAACATAACATAACATACATACATACATACATACATACATACATACATTACATTACATTACATTACAGACATTACATTACATTACTTACACATTACATTACATTCACATTACATTACACTACATACATAAATACATCTACATACATACACACATTACATACATTACATACATACATTACATACATTTCATTACTTTACATTACATGACATCACTATTGCATTACATTACCTTACATACATACATACATACATACATAGATACATACATACATACATACATACATACATTACATACATTACATACATTACATACATTACATACATTACATTCATTACATTCATTACATACATTACATACAAAACATACATACATACAAACATACATACATACATTACATTACATTACATTAGATTACATTACATTACATTACTTCACATTACATTACATTACATTACACTACATACATAAATACATCTACATACATACATACATTACATTACATTACATACATTACATACATTACATACATTACATACATACATTACATACATTTCATTACTTTACGTTACATGACATCACTATTGCATTACATTACCTTACATTACATACATACATACATAGATACATACATACATACATACATTACATCTATATACATACATCTATATACATACATATATACATATATACGTATATACATACATATATATATACACATATATACATTTATACATATATACATATATGCATATATACATATATACATATATACATATATATATACAATATATACAATATATATACGTAATTTTATTTACGTAAATATATATATATACACCATTGCAAATATAGATTGCGCCAAAAAAATAATAGCGACGGTAGATGGCGCAGCCTGGCCCTAAAATAATTATTTTTGGCAGATGGCGCGACCCCAAATAGCATCGCTATTTTTGGTAAATAGCGGTTGCTTTCTTTTTCCCGGGAGCGTCTGAGCGCACTGTTCTTCCAATAGTGGGGGTCTGTATCTCATCTTCTCATCTTCACATCTTCTCATCTTCACATCTTCATCTCACCTTCTCATCTTCTCATCTTCAAATCTTCTCATCTTCACATCTTCATCTCATCTTCTCATCTTCACATCTTCTCATCGTCACATCTTCTCATCTTCACATATTCTCATCTTCACATCTTCTCATCTTCACATTTTCTCATCATCTTCACATATTCACGTCCTGCCATCTTCACATCTTCTCATCTTCACATCTTCTCATCTTCACATCTTCTCATCTTCACATCTTCATCTCATCTTCTCATCTTCACATCTGCTCATCTTCACATCTTCACATCTTCACATCTGCTCATCTTCACATCTTCTCATCCTCACATCTTCACATCTTCACATCCTCGCATCTTCACATCTTCTCCTCTTGCCTTCTTGCCCTCTTTCCTTCTTGCCCTCACATCTTGCCCTCTCCTTCTTTTCTATTTCTCTTCTGAAGGCGGGGGCAGGGGCAGTGCCAACGAGACGGCACGAAACGCAACCCTTTCGCACGAAATGAGGTTCGATTGCCAAAAACTGAAGTAAAATTGCGATTTCAAAGTGTCCGGCGCAACCGTTTCGCACGAAATGAGGTTCGATCGCCAAAAACTGAAGTAAAATTGCGATTTCAAGTTGTCCCGCGCAACCCTTTCGCGCGAAACGAGGTTCGATCGCCAAAAACTGAGGTAAAATTGTGATTTCCAAGTCGTCCCGCGCAACTCTTTCGCACGAAATGAGGTTCGATCGCCAAAAACTGAGGTAAAATTGCGATTTCAACTTGTCCGGCGCACCCCTTTCGCACGAAATGAGGTTCGATCGCCAAAAACTGAGGTAAAATTGCGATTTCCAAGTCATCCCGCGCAACCCTTTCGCACGAAATGAGGTTCGATCGTCAAAAACTGAGGTAAAATTGCGATTTCTTCTGTGTGTAAACGTGTCTGTGTCAAAGCTTCTGTGTGCTGTGTGTAAAAGCTTCTGTGTGTAAAAGACTCTGTGGTGTAAAGTGTCAAAGCGTCTGTGTGTAAAAGCGTTTGTGTGTAAAAGTGTCTGTGTGTAAAAGTGTCTGTGTGTAAAAGCGTCTCTGTAAAAGCGTCTGTGTAAAATCTTCTTAGAGAGAGAGGGAGCCCTTTCATGGCTAAGTAAGCATTATATGTATGTATATATCCTGTATACATGTATGTATTCATATTATATATATATATCCTGTATACATGTGACTTCCTTGATGATACTTCCATTGTTTGGAACTTCATTTTTGGTCTACGGTGACAGTCATTCTAGTTGGCGCTTTACATCCGAGCCGCTGCACTCTAGAAGTGCTTCAAGAAGGATCACCCTGGAATCCCATAAAGACATGTCAAAAAGCTGGCAAATGGCTCTGATGTTCTCAGGTACCCCGAAAAAAACAAAAAAAACAATTGATTCGCCAATCATTTTCCCCATACTCCATGGCAATTCTAAGGTATAATATATACATACATATGCATATACCCATATATACCCCATTTTGGAGCCCATATGGATCTTGATCCCATGTGCTTATGTCACCCAGGCTCCTCTGGCTTGACCAACGCAGCTCCAGCCAAGGAGATGGGGATCCTCAGGCGGCTGAGGATCCCCATGCCACAAACTGGTCATGGAAACTACAGAATCTACACAGTCATGTTGTCTATAATATCTATAATAGATTGTCTATACTAGTCTATACATACATGAAAAAAAGGATGTTGAAATTCTGAATCCAATCCCATGAATTTTCTGGAACCGAGGAATTCCCCCTGTTTCGAAAGTCATCCATAATAGAGGATTTTCTATGTTACACTTAAGTGTTACACTCCAGGACGCTTCTTGGATGTCCCAAAAATCCTGGTCCAGAACCATGCTCAGTCCACCCAGTTGTGGGATATGCCTAGTTGTACATAGATCATTCTCCAGATTCTAGGAGGGATGACATACAATTCAACTTGTTTGTTGTGGAGCTCTTCTCTCAAGGTCCCTTGGGCGATCTTCATACTAACCCTATGCATGAATTTGAGATCCTAATGTGAAAAACAATAAATTCATCAGGTGACTCCCCATCCTGTGGTTCCTGCTATCCCCAATATTTTGGGAAAACTTGCAGAGGTTCGGCTTTTCTCAAAAAAACACGCATTCCTTACAGGCCTATCATGAAGCCACGGCTCCGACAGATGGCTCCGGCAGGCGGTTGGCGTGAAGCGGCTGGGGCTTGAAGAGCTTGCGGAGGTGTCATCATGGGCCTGGGCCAGAGGGAACCATGTGTGGATGTATCTATGTCTACCTGACTGTCTATATATAGTGAATGTATAATATATATATATACATATTGTGTGTATAAGTATGGTATGTGTGTATGTGTGTATGCATGTATGCATGTATGCATGTGGATGGATGGATGGATGGATGGATGGATGGATGGATGGATGGATGGATGGATGGATGGATGGATGGATGGATGGATGGATGGATGGATGGATGGATGGATGGATGGATGGATGGATGGATGGATGGATGTGGATGGATGGATGTGGATGGATGGATGTGGATGGATGGATGTGGATGGATGGATGTGGATGGATGGATGTGGATGGATGGATGGATGGATGGATGGATGGATGGATGGATGGATGGATGGATGGATGGATGGATGGATGGATGGATGGATGGATGGATGGATGGATGTACATACACACATGTGAGATGTACTAGTAAGCATGTGATGATCTATTTACATGTATATTTCTTGATAAATCCCAACCTGATTGAGGATGATTGAGTATGATTGAACATAATGCACTCACACGGTCCTCTTTCAGACATCCCTAGACAGGACTTGTCGAGCCCGAGTTCTTTGGAAACACCAAACAAGGAGGTATAGCATTCCATTTCATCAAGGTTCCGGATGACTGTTATGCACCCAATATCGGGTATTTAATCCTGATCCGGTGACGCCCCAAATCATCATAGCCACTATTAAGGGCGTGTTAACCAGGACAAGGGTGAATCTGAACGATCTATTATTGACAGGTTCATTAAACCCTCACGGACTCTGACCACCGAACCTAGTCAAATCACGGTATGCCAGAGATATCTATAGGAGCATCCACCTACGTCCAAATGGGTTTGTCTGACACTGGGGTACTTCATTCCATCCCATAGTTGATGATCATCTTTCCCATTAAATTGGCCATACATTGATGGTAAATCTCACTTTGGGACAAACCTATATCAAATTCATGGTTTGTTTGATCTCATTGACTATATCACATTCTTTACCGATATTTCCTTCGCTTTATACCTCCATGTTTCTTCGGTATAAATCCGCCATTGGAATGGATAAACCCATCCTGTGCATCTCATAGAGCGTATCTCCAGACAAGTAAAATCTCCCGTTGCATCCCCGCTGTTTACAATATTAGGGGTCTTGAACAAATAGATCATATCATATTGTTGGTCACTTATCCCGTCATATTCCCATGATATCTCAATTACGTACGCGTTATATCCCCATTATAACCCACTACATATCCCCATCACATACCCAAATCAACTGTGACGTATTGTGCATCACCACCTGCCGAACGTCAGCTAAGCAGCACAAAGATGGGCAACGCAATGAGTTGCGGAGAGCATCGTGTGGGGAGCACGTTCCTAGCCGTGGAATGCTGAAAAGTGTACAACCAGGATGGTAGTTCGATGATATTTAATACATGCTTCCATGTTTCCCAATTTTCTATCTATTTTTGGGTTGTTATATATATATACATACATGCAAATTTATCATGTGTGTATATATATATATTGTACATATGTTTTATGAAATGTTTCAATATATGTGGATATATTTACATTCATTGGTACACGAATGACCAACCAAAAACACGCAAAAGGAAGGGCGATCGAAAAGAATCGGAACATGGCCCACCACAATCAGCATATCACCTTTGAAAAGCAGAACATTAGAATCAAATAGTCCACCAATATTTATATTTATTGGATTCTAAGATTGAGTGTAACCAGTACTTTGACTTTGGTTCAAATCACCTTTGAATCACCTTTAAAACCAAAGCCAATGTCACCAGTATTTCTTGTTGAGTCCCTACCTACGGGAAAGGATTGTGCTACTGAGTTTCATGCCGTAAAAAGTCCCTGACCCTAAAACCGACCTCAACGGCAACACGATCAAAAGGAATTCCCTTTATCTTCTTTTACGGATAACATGACCATGGAACGGGTGATTGATGAAATGGTTTCACTATGTTTCGTTGTTGATCAAGCTAGAATATGAGGTTCTCATCCCTTCCGCAAGAGAGTCAGCTTGGAACTGGTGTGCCAGCTTTCATCCATCTTTCTCTTGGTCAAATTCTCATTTTGCTAAATTCCAATCTTGATAAATATAGATTGGTCAACATTCAACATAACATAATTCTATGTAAAAATAGAGGTTTCCCCTTCGCTATGGTGGTACCCCAGCTGGATTTTATGGAAAATCCAATGTTATATAAGATGGATAATATCACTGGGGGTACATATAATAATTGATATCATATACCATCTGGTATATTAACATAGCCATGGAAAATCACCATTTTTAATAGGTAAACCATCTATAAATGGGTAATATTGTAGGAAACCTCCTGGTTCTTCACATCATTTCACATCAACATTCCCTGGTTCTCTGGTCAAAACAGGCGTCGTTGAAGCGCTGCTGGTTGGGCCCTGGCTGCAAGCTTCGGGTGTAGCACCAGCACCACTCTCCTCCTACGGAACTCTCACTGAGTTCCCACACAACAGCATGAGCAGGCAAGAACTCAAGAGGAACAGCTATGCGTATACAATTGTATGCATATATATATTACATTGATATATTATAGAATGTATATATAAACTGTACTATGTTTGTATACACACATAATAAACAATAAATCATGGGGATGCGGCAAACCGTGTATGAGCAAACAGCGAACAAGTCAACCAAAAAATGAGTAGTGACCAGCAACTGAAACAAATAGGACCCACCAACATGAACTTCCAAGCAGCACATCAACCACGAGTCACGCGTTTGTCTCCTCCATGATCCTGAAACGCTCCTTGGAAGCCAGGTCGTGGCAGACCCAAGGTGGTTTGGTTTTTGAAGATTCAAGTTTGAGACTGTTGAAGAAATCGTTGGTTCATAACTTTGGCACTTTTTTTTGAGATTCTAAGTTTTGGATGGGAGAAATGATTTTCCTTAAGAGATTCATCGTTTCATTTTGTGGCAAATCGAGGCTCATCTTGGCTCCTGATGCCAGTGGGCAACAAAAAGAATCGCCAGTTGGACGGCCAACTGGTAAACTTTCCCCTAATTGGATCCCTAAACCCATCTGCCAAGATTCCATGGCCCGACCAAACTCCTCACATGTCAACAGGCTTCCCAACTTTTTGTGCAGCCGCTGTCGCACACGTCTTTTCACCTCAGCTAACCCGGCGAATCCCGGCGAATGGGAAAGTTTGGGGCCACCGGTCCAATACACGGGATGCTTGTTATTGTTGACGAATTTTTGTGGCTCACAACAAAGCCAAAATCATCCAAAATCAGTTTATAAGGCCATGAACTTGACGAGTTTAGTGCTCCATCATTGTGATCGCACAACTGCGGTCACTATGGTTGTGCAAATGCATTGTCATCTCCAGAGATATCTATGTCATAAAACAAAAAAAAAACATGTTGTGAGAACAAAACCATTCAAAACCCATTCAAAACGTGGGTGCTTCAAAGCTGATTTGTTGATGTTCAGATCCTCATAGTCAACTAGGACTTCGCCCTCAACCAACCATTCCGAGATAGTACATCTGTATGTACATATTTTGAGGTATCTACTGTGTCTAAATATGTGTGATATATATGTATGTATGTATGTATGTATATATATATATATGTGCGCATATGCATGTATGTATGTATGTACGTACGTACGTACGTACGTACGTAGGTATGTATGTATGTATGTATGTATGGTAAGGTAATGTAATGTAATGTAATGTATTGTAATGTATTGTATTGTACTGTATTGTATTGTATTGTAATGTAATGTAATGTATGTATTGTAATGTATGTATTGTAATGTAATGTAATGTAATGTAATGTAATGTTATGTTATGTTATATATGTATGTATATATATATATATGTAGGCACAACCATAATTATATAGATATAGATATAATATAGATATAGATGTACATGTACATCTACATGCACATACACCTATACCTATACCTATACTTACCTATACCTACCTATACCTATACATTTACATATACATATACATATACATATTCATATACATATACATATACATATACCTATCTCTATCTAGATACCTATATCTATGTCTATATCTATACCATTCTATCTGTGTCTGTATCGCCATAAATTCCCATAAATTGCAGGTCTGGTGGCGGCTCGGTTCGGTGCTTCCTGACTGGCCTGTGCGGCAGCGGCCAAGATCTCCGCAACTGCGCTTGGGGGCAGCTTGGACCTCCTGGCAGGGATTGGGCAATGATTTTGACCTAGAAATCTGATGAAAATCTCCCAAAAAATGAAAATGTCACCTAAAAATCTGCGGATTCTGGTGATTCTGGGCCCAAAAATCAATGGATTTAGACCCAAAAACCTCTATTTTCCCCACAAAAAAATGGACATGTAATCTAAAAATCTGTGGAAATCTGGAGATGTTAACAAAAAGATCGGCGCGAGTTTCACCCGAAATCTTATCCGAAGATTGGGATCTTTGGCACCTGATTCATGGGACATTAGGATGTTGACCACCCAATATGATGGGATATGAACCAATCAAAATAAGGATTGCATCAGCAAAAACACGGATTGCAGCAACAAAAACACAGAAATATCGGATATGTAAACCAACCAAGAGGATAGAGAATGAATCAACCAATAAGGGGTGTACCCTTGAAATTGTTGAGGGAAAATTGCTGGAAGTTGCCAAACTGGAGGGGTTCCCATCTTGGGATTTCCAAAATGATGGTCATCAGAAGTCCTATGACTCTAGGTCACAAAGAGACAAGTGGTGATCCATTAGCAAGCAACTCTCATGTACATTTCCGTGCCGCACGTCATATCCACTGGAATTGGATTGGAGAACCTTGTTATGGCGGTGCTCTCAACTCAACGTGTGAGAACCTTTGCTAACCATGAAAGTTTGGGTTCCCGCACTCACCTTCAGCCAAATTCCACCCAAATCCGCAGGACTGGGCCGACTGTGTCCTTGAATTCTGACACTTCGCGACTGGGATGCTGATGTTGTTGACACTCTGGCCAATCTCGCTTGTTCCCAAGCACATTGTGAGCTCGAAGGTCAATCCTTGCCATGCGGCACCAAGATCAATCCATTGGGTAGCCCTCCAAACTGAATGGTCAACGAGTCGACTAGAAATAGCCAGTCGAGGGACCCGTGTCAATCTCTGTACATGTTCTTCCCCAAACATGACCTTGTGCAGCCAAGATTCGAACCAAAACTCTTGCAACTCAAATCAGGGCTTGAACCAAGTGCAGCGGTCCATTCTCTTAGTGTTGATGACTCTCTACAACCCAGTTGTCCGGATTTGACCGAAAAGCTCTGAGTCTTCGCGGATGTTGGGGTTCTGGTTCTGGTAAATGTGGTACCCCCAATGCCACAGTTTCATAACCAGTTCGGGATTCGGGATGATTCTCTGGAAATCCACAGCTTCAGCTGGTAAGTCTCCGCAAACATGTTTGATTCCCCGAGGGATTGGTTTATTTCTGGCTTAAATGTTGTTGGGACCAGTCACCAGTCAGCCCTGGAAGCCCTGGGAGCACGTCTAAGGGCGCTCCGATGGAGGAGAAGAGAGCAGCTGAAGTCAAGGCATCGGAGAAGCAAATCAGCGCGATGCTGGGACGAATGCTGCCTCGGACACCCGTATGGTGATGTATTACCGTATGGGACAACCGAAAGCTGAGATCTCATGGTAATCAAAATAGGCAAATCAAATGTACACTGTATGTCACTGTATCGATTGTATCGATGACGACCAACGAAAAACGCGATGTGAAGCTATATTGCAAACCCCCGGTTCGCCCACACAACTTTTTAGGGGGTTCAAAGGATATTGATTCAAGGGAATCTTAAAGATGTTTCAAAAGAGTTTCTAGGGAATCATAAAATCTCCACCTCCGTTAAACTTTATATTCAAGGGAATGTTCAAGGAGTTTAGGGTTAAGGGATTAGGGTTGATGATGTTGATGATGTTGATGATGTTGATGATGTTGATGATGTTGATGATAATAATAATGATGATATTGTAACATTCAACGCACAGGTCGCTAAGCTGTGCGTTGCCAGATGAAAGCCATGATCATGGACATGTGAATTTTGTCCCACAAAACAAAGTGTTTTTTGATGTTCGGACACGTCGTGGACGTCGGTGCGGGCAAACGGAGGGGGTCTGCACATAAGAATACTGTGCATGACCAACAGTGGGAACCAAAATGGATGTGTCAAAAATTTGAGGATTAGGTGAGAAAACCACACTAGTCCAACAAAAACACTAAACCCTCGGAGATACTCATTGTCCTTCAACATTCCCTATGGGCATGGTTGCAAATGGTTAGGGCCCATTCCTCTGATTGCAGGTTGTCCTGAAAATTCAGATCAAGACTGACCCACCGGCTTACCCGAGATACAATTGAAAAATCGGCATGTTGCTATGGACAACTTGTAAGTACCTTGCGAAAATGTGCATCTGCGGCATGACTATACTGTCTTGACTGTAGGATGTGGCTATTTGAGGCTGAAATCTAGACCCCAGGAGTGTGAAGTGCTTTAAAAACAAGTATTTCCAAAAAAAAATGGCTTTGACTACAGTTGTTCATAGCTGTTCATCATGAATCCCCTAAAAAACAGAATCCAACGCTACTTGGTGGCTCATCCCACTTGCTAGTTAGGTTGGTTATATCATGATTGTATCTGGTATAAGTAGGCTTATAGAACTTATAGCCCACTTGTAACTGGAGTTATAACCTACTGACCTACTAAAAAAATAAGCCGGATGAACCCAGTCCCCCTTTCAAAGAATCATCCTTTCGGATTTTGGCCCGTGCTCCCTACGCTTCCCCTGTCAAGCCACAGTTAAAGCCGGTGGGTTTTCGCTCCCCTTCTTCCTCCTCTCCAGTGAGCCATGATGAAACCTGACTCACCTGTCAGCCGAGAAAATCCCAGGGATCATTCGAGGGGGTTCCCAGCCTCATGGACTACGATAATCACCAATATGCAAAGGGTAGGTTAATAAGCCCGAACAAATCATCAACCGGCCTCGAGCCACAGCATGGTTGACGGGATTCAGCGAAAATCAGCAAGAATAAACAAACATGACGAAAATAATTAGAAAAGTCACTAGGTCACTGGACGGTTTTTTGACCCGGATTTATATATATATATATATATTTACCACTGGTTGCTTTGATTGTCGCGCCTGGGGATTCCTGAACCCCTTTTTGTTCGATCTTGCGTGCAACAAACATGAAATTCTCGTGTGTGGGCGTGTGGATGTGACATCTCAGAGAATATGTATATATATATATATTCACATATATATATATATATATATATTCACGTTACATTATAGGTATATTGATATATTTTAATATATTTTATATAGATAATACATACACAGCATGAGGGTTTTCCCTGCATTTCCTCAGGAAACGCAGGGTGTGCCCATCTTTCTCGTCTTCCGCTCAGGGCCCGCACCTTCAGAATGCCAAAGGAGTGGAAACCTGACGTTACCATGGACCACAGGCAAAAAAACAGCGCATAGGTCCAGTTGTTACCCAAAAAAGATGTTTTTTTTGTGACCAAAGAACTGCAAGCCAACTCACAAACGCTGCTGATTCAACCGCAACCCTTGAAGAATCTGCATGATGAATACTAGAAATAACCAAAATCCTTTGACCCAGACACCTTCTGCCATAAAAAGATGCCGCCCAGCCCATGCAAGGGGGGTTGAGACTCGAAGAGCACCATTTTTTCGTTTTGCAGACTCGGCCCAGGACCCAAGTTTTAAGGGTTCCATGTCAGAATTCAAATTGGGACACTCCAAGAAATTCCTACACTGGCAGTGTAACAATAGCCCCAATCTGCGAGCACCAACATGTCTTCAACGGTGACCCCACATTTTGACGCATACCCCTGGTTGACTCAAAAAATATGATGTGGTACCCGTTTCGCCCCAGGGTATCAGTCAACAGAAAAACTCGGGATCCCCACCACCCAACGTACCCATGAAGGCAGCCGCTCCGACCACGCTGGAGGGAGACACCAGAGACCTCTGACTTGAGACGGTCTGATCCAGACACGTTTGGGGAACTCGGAAGGGGCTGGTGAGTCAACTCCAACAATGCAGATTCTGGCCATGAAGAAATGTGTGATTATATCAATCCGACCAGCCAAGCTGGCATCCCTTGGGCTGCACAATGACTACATCGAGAAGTTCAAGTCCCATTCCTGTTGCTCGAATCTATGTCTATTTATATTTACTATACATGTATACCTAGATATACCTCTTTTTATGCATACATACGTGTATGTATATATATAATATATATACATGCACCATATGTCATATTTTGTCATTATAGTATATGTCATAATGTTGACCCCGGATTAATAAACCATAGTTTTTTAATTAGGGGGTACTTCCCCAATAGTCATACAGTAATCTGATACTTAAATGGCACCCCCCCCCAGTTAAACAGCCGTTTGGGGTTTATTAATCCAGGGCTGACATCATATCATGTATCACATGTCATATATCATATATATATATATCATATATCATATATCATGTATCACATGTCATATATCATATATATCATATATAATATATCATATATCATGTATCACATGTCATATATCATATATATCATATATCATATATCATATATCACATGTCATATATAATATGTATAGTATATATATATGATACATATGTACACTCTGTATACCACAACCATACCCCATCTCTGTGGCGCCAGGGTGCAGCGTCGCTGCGGCGCTCTGCACGGAGTGTGCCAGTGAGTCAGCCACGGTATCAAAGCCTGTGAACCTGGCAATGGGGAGGCCGTAGAGGGGTGGTTTTTCCGGACATGGCTAAAACAAGTGGATTAGAAAACTCCCATATGTTGGGATGTAGTTAACCCCAGCAATCCCAAGCCTATATGTATATATATATATGTATAATTATATATATATATATTTCTATATATATATATTTCTATATATATATATATATATTTCTATATATATATACTTCTATATATATATATTTCTTTATTCAGTTATAATTTAAACTGCACCCCCAAGTATGAGGTGGAAAAGAACAGTAAACTGGTATGCAACCATGGTTAGAAGGTGATGTCCCCGTCTTTTGGGTTGTAAATACTGGATATACCCCTCTATGTCCTCAACTACACATCCAGGTAGGAGGCTATACTTGGATCAACATCCGATGACATTCCGCTTAGTACAGGAGCCCAACTATTACTATTGATGTATAATTTAGACACTGTGATGAACATCCTAGTACGGGTAGGGGACCATATGGGACACTTTGGCATCTGGTTTTCCGTCTCCATGCTGGTCCCACACAGAAGGATCCAGGAACAAGCTGAAGTCTGTGCAATGTGCCAGGTGGAGATGAAACAAACGTGTGAGAACGTGGGTGGCTCTGAATGCCCTACATGGTTTGATACCAAGTCTGCCAAATGCATCCTTAAAGCCTCTAGTTTGGTGCATGATGCCTGCGTATACTTGCTTCACGAGGGCTTCAACCAGGAATGGTGTAGTCTCAAGTTAATCGTATTGAGACCACAAAAAGGCACGTGTTTTACATCCCGTGGACCATTTCTATGACATTTAAATTTCTTTGAAAAGATTACCGACCAAAAATGGTCGCATGTCTGGCAAACGGCACAAAAGAAATGTAAATTTCAACATCCAGAAGCTGAAATGCAGGATCGAAATGTGTGGCACCAGCAAAGGGTATTTTAAAAAGGAAAAAACACTCGCCTTGTTTTGATCAAACCCTCACAAAACAAACCCTTTAAGACTACCTTGGTTCGCAACTTAATTTGTGGGTCCACTGAAGCATACATATACATATGTAATATATATATAGATATGAATACACATAATATCAATGTCAATATGTGTGTATATATATAATTACATATATATATAAACACGATATGAGCCAGCCGCTCAAAACCCACCAGCCAGGTTGCTCAAACACCAGCCAGGCAACAAGCTGCTGAGCTTTTCAGGCGGTGCAAAGTGTGACACTCCTGGTGATCAAACTCAAAAAAATGCTACAATCAATGGGGAGTTTTCTCAATTTTGAACAATTGGATTTTCAAGAATCCAATATCGAACAAAGTATTGGGTGCGTATAACTTCGTATAGCCACTCCAAAGTAGCAGGGTAGACCAAAGGTAAGGGGTCTCTCTTTGATATTGTGTTGAAAACTGTTCCGTTGCGTAAGATCGCTGGCGATCAAATGATCAGGTTCGAGATAACCAATTTTGATGGGCGGACCCCACTTTGGATTCATAACCAATATCTCTTGATTGGTTTTGCTGAAGGGCCGAGAACGAAATCATTTAGACTTCGAAACATCAAATCCAGGTTATTCCTTTCTGTATCTGGAAGGCTTTTGGAAACCCATATCCCACCATTTCATGTATCCAAACCGCCAACATCATGGGGTATATTGGGGTATATTGAGATGGTTTCAAAAAGTGAGCTGGTTGACTCTTGGATCTCCAAATCACGAGCCCCCACTGCTGGTCCAGGTTTCTTCACTAAACAACTAGTAGAATTCGTACCGCATCTTCGACCCCCCAGGACCTCGCATCAAGTCGTGCGTTGGCTGCAGCAGAGACATGGCAGTGCCAGTGCTGCCAGCCGAGGCCATCTGTGCAGCAAAATGGGGAGATGGCAATAAAAAAATGTCATTTGTAGGTTCCAAAAAAACATGCCGCCCTATCATTCCAGTTAGGGAGAAGGCTGGCAAAACCCACTCGTAGTAAACCCCCTATAGAGCCCAAAAAAAGCATTTCGAAACCAGCATTTTTGGGGGAAATCTTCATTATTGGCAGGCTCATGTCCAGCCTTGACAGCCCCCATGCCAGCTGCTGCTGCGCCCTTGCCCACGAGCATCTCAATTAGGACCATGGCCCCTTTGGACCCGGGGCCTCTCAGCCCACTATGAAACAGCTCAGAGCCGAAGCCGACGGCGACATCCCAACAATTCCAAAGTGGAGTCAAGAAATGGATACAAAGACATCGTTGATTTGTTTGGGGTGCAACAATTGGTCACTAGGTCTGAAAGCCTTGGTCTTTTCAAATTTGCGAATCCCAGAGGTTGGCCCCCCCATTGGGCCCATGTTTGTTTGATGCCATATGGATATGGTTTCAAATCATTTCCCCTCCAAAAAGCAACGGTATACTGTGGTATACTGTGGTATACTGTTATAGGAAAAATGGGACAACCCAGCCCTCCCAGACTGGGGGACTGCAACGACCCCCCAGGACGGACGGGAGCATCACATCGTCCATCTGCAGGCGGTGGATAGACATGAGACACCACAGAAAGATACAGAAAGCAGATGATTCAAAATGACAAACATATAGATAGACTATCTAGTGATGATATCTAGTGATGATAGAGAGACTATCTAAGATAGTGTATAAACTTTTTGTTGGCCGTGTACATCCCAAAAGATTGTCCTGCCGAAGCTGCGATCGGGAACATTTCTGGGAACATTGCAAACCAAGGTTGAGAATTCCACCAAGCACAGGCATCAGTTTTTCTGTATATATCTTCTAATCTGGTTGGCTGGGAAATCTTTTTTTTACTGGAAAATGATTTTGTCCGCCAAGTTGGATCGCCAGAGTGTAACATCGAAGACCAACCCGGACTTTTCAACAAGCCTCTGCGGAGATCTCCAGAACGTTAGGAACCCAAAATCCATAAAAATCTATGGAAACATACCATATCTCAGGAAACATCATGAAACATCCTGGCCCCAATGTTTGCCCTCGCAGGCTCCCACCTCGTCCTGACAGGTGCGATCCGTGACGCATTGTGGGAGCTCCACCGAGACCTAAAACGTCACAAAAAATCTCGGAATGCAAAATGGGACAGCATTCCACCAGCAAACTCATCAAACTGTAACAAACTGTAATCTTGTCATATCTTGTCATATCTTGTCACTGGGAATTCTGGGAAACTCTCACAGAAAGTCAGGCGAAACTTGGATGGTAACTCCATGGAATTCTGTTGCGAATTCAACCAAGTTTGATCCATAGCGACATTGTCCCCAAAATAAAGACGCGATACCAATCTAGTACCGAAATCCATTTCTATCTCTGGTTTCCAGCTTGTTTCACTAGACCACTTTGCTGGAGGCCAGATGCGAGTTCCAGCAGTCAACTCAACTGGATGCCAGTGCCGTGACTCGGAACTGCAGGAAACCAATGGAAACCATGGAATTTCCAACCCAATATGGGGGGTAAACCTTGAGAATCAGCCGTGTCAGTCGCCCCTTCCCCAATCCCCACCAATCCTACCTGCGACGTTGCAGTGGAAGATTTAATTGCACATGGTGACCCTTCTCAGGGATCCCAGGGACGCCAGTCGATCCCAGTCTCAAAAACACCGCATTTTCTGTGTGAAATCATGAAAAACGGAGTCATGAATGTCATGATAGTCGTGACTCATTCTGTTGATTGGTACCCAAAAATTGATTCGGTGCCATGTCCAAAAATTCTGAAATTTGCTTCATGTAGCCTATCACCATCCCCGTTTATACCCATTCATGATTGCATTTTATTTGATGATTATATAATAATTACATATACATACCTTTGCTTTGATGTCTCGACATTTTCATTTGCATATGCGCCTATCGGTCGAAATTGTTTGCCCCAAGCTTGCTTCGGACGTCCTCCAAAAAATGTCCGAAAAACAACAATCAACCAACCCAAAAAAAAATGTGATACATACCTGTAATCAATTTGATACATACCTGTAATCAATTGGCCAAACCCGCATTTTCGTGTAAATCCTCACTTTGTCGGTCAATCTCCAAATGGATCTCCGTGTTTCTAGTTGTTTCATTCCCTTATATATTGGTGAAAGTATTCAATGATTGCTGCTTCACCTGTTCTGCTGGCTGTTGGTGAATCAAAATCCTCCATTTTGGGGTTGAATTTCTATGGTTGTTGCTTAAATCCCCATGTTTCTCACCGTATTTCCCTTTGAATAAAATCAGTATATCCATGTGTATCCTCGTTCTTGTCGTTGTGATTTTTGTGCAAATGAAATAAATGAAATCTTTCATTTTGCTGGTTAACTCCCTAATCCGACTGCCTGCGTTGTCTCGACTTGATCCGCCACTGGGGAATAACGCGCCTGCCAAGTGCGCGTGTGGAGGGTCAAGGAAAATATGTTCCGAACAACTAAGTAATGGAATCACACAATAAATTCGTTACATACAGCGACTCCCTTTGAGTTTATTCGTACCCAAGTTCGGAGAATTGTTTTCATGTGCGATTACCTCTCAAATTTTACCCGTCACTAAAAAGGTTGCAACATTGGTGTTTGACCCAAAAAATTGTCGGCAAATGTACCCACGACAACGAACTGTTTCCACAGTTGTCCGTTTCCAGTCGACTGGGGTTCGACTGAGAATTTGGCCATAATCAAGCAGCAGCATGCAATGAATCGAGGTACAACATGTGACGTATCGTTTGTGGCACCACTGACATGTTGGTTCATCCATTTCCAATATACTGCCCGTGTATGTGTCATTCATTCGTGGTTGCTGAGTGTGAACAAATTCTAAGCTGCACACTATGCAGTTTGGTAAGAATGCCCACATGTGAAATTTTGACACATGTTAGATTCCCATCCACAACGAGGGGCGGTTCATGGAACGCATTGTGTCAGCACAGCTTGAGGATGAATGCCACACCCATGCAAATGTGTTCATCGCACACTGGGCATTGAAAGCAGTCATCGATTCACAACGGAATCATTCGTTTTGATTTGCAATTCATTGCTTCTACGGTTAAAATTGGCTTGGAGACCAGAACTAAGCGCACGAAAACTAACTGGTTCAACTTGGACTTCTTATTTTGCTACCTTTATAAAAGGCGTTGATATAAAACCATACCTCCCAAAACCCGACGTCGAAACTGCTAAGAAACGAAGATACGTCTCAAAACGCAAATCGCAAATTCGACAGCTGAAAGAATTCGTTCCTTCATCTCCCCTTTTTTCGGAACTTGCTGAATGGAATCTCTGAGTTTGCACAGGTAAGGTTCCAACCTCTTATTGGTGACCTTGTAAGCCACCTAGTTTTCACAAGTGACCACACATTCATACCTGATGGCATGTTACCCCCCTGACGGTATTCGTGCAGGAGGGGATAGGCCGAAATGGTACGCAAATCGTACTGTTGTGACTGCCAAATTGGAAGCAACAGCTGAGAGAATCTGAGAAAAACCATGAAAGCAAAGATTACAATAGGTTGAAGTCTGTGAATGCAGCCATTGAAATTGAGAGGTTCAAGTCAGGATCTCGTTTGCCACGAACTGAAAGGAGGTATCCATATGACAACCTGCAAACAGCGAAGTTACACGGTGGGTGCGTATTGGGTTCAAAAACACAGTTGGTGACAACACAGCACTGTTGACCTCACTTTTTCCTCGAGTAGCACGGATGTGCTAAAAGGGGCTGCGGTCACGTCAAGTGTCTTACATGACATGCCATCTCTACTCCTAGCTAGCTACTTAGCCCTAAACTAAGTGTTTTACGCCTAGCAAGTTGCCACCCTCCTTAGAGTGGACTTGTCTGTGAGACGCTACTGGTGAGACGTCTCTACATCCCCAGGAACCTATCTTCAGCCCGTCTCCACTGTTCAAGTTCTGCTGGAGACATGTGGGCAAACGGGTCGCTCCGCTCGATGCTGGCTGCATCGGCTTCGCTTTCCGGGTTGGCGGATCTGCCCGCTCAGGCGGAGCTGCCCGCTGTTCAGCGGTGTTGCCCGCACTGGCTGGTGCCGCCTCGGACTCACTTGACTCAGAGTCCTGGAGGTCCGACATGCCGTCGGGGTGCTCTCCTCGTAGGAGAGACTCTTCTTGGTTGCGCCATTCGATCAACTCCTGCATGGTCACTCTGGCCTCTGCGGCTTCTTGGACCCAACGTTCTTCATGCCACCTCTCGATCTCGAGGAGTGAGTTCCTCAGGAGACTGCGGGGCTTCCGCTGGTGTCCGCGGGTCTGCCGCTGGCTCTGACCGCGGGGTTGCCGCTGGCGCTGGATTGGTCAGCATTAGCTGCTGATTGTTTCTGGTGGCAGTCACCCTGAGTCGCAAGGTGATCTGCTGATCTTCGACGTGCAATTGCACCTCATGGCCCGTTTCTTGAGCTCCTGGCTCGATTGGCCGTACCAGTTCATAGCAAAAGTGACAAACTGTGTTGCCAGTTGCCAGATTGCCCATATCAGCACACCAATGCCGATCCCGGCCAAGAAGAACAATGCATACCATTCGTATTGGGACAGGCAGTCCGTAGGCTGCCCTGCCACAGCCTGAATTTGGCTCAGGACAACAAGTGCCTTGATGCACCCGACCAGTTGTCCGTCTTGACAATAGGCCGTGGCAGTTTTTCCCGCTCGATCTTGGTCTTTGATCCAACCAACACAAGCTGGCGTAGGAGTCTTCCACGCATGCTGCTTGGTCATGGTTGAGACCTTGACAGAGATCTTCTTGCTCGAAGAGAGCATATCTTCTCCGTCACGAGCTTCATACATGCCTAAACCAGGCATTGCTTGCCTTACTTCCGTTCCACTCTTTGGGTGTTTGGTGAGGAAGTTGGCACAATTCACGGTGCCCTTGACTTTGCCCAACGCTATCTGCTTGGACTGCAAAGCTCCTTGCACATAGAACTCACAGACTTCAAGGTGTCTGGAACCTGGTCCAATGCGCTTGGAAGCTTGCATTGCCGATGAACTGTCCGTCCATACCCTGGGACTCCAAGAAGCTCCATTTTGAAGCTGCCAGCTCCAGAACAGCAATTGCAGCTCCAAAATGAAGCTTCCAAAATGGAGCTTCCAAAACTGAGCTCGCAGCTCCAAAATGAAGCTGCTTGAAAACATCGAAATGGAGCTTCCAAAATGAGTTGTTTTTGGTATCAAATGGGGCTGCTGACGTGCATTGCATTTGATCCTGGTCAAGCTGCAAGCCTTGTTTTTGAGTGGAGGATCAGAAAAAAAAATCCAGATCAAAAAAAATTAAAACACTAGGATCTTAAAAAAGTATTGCCTATTTCATCTAAATTTAGTGGTAGGTTAGGTATATTTTTTTTTGATCTGGAAATATTTTTTCTTGATCCCCTGAGGCTAGGGGAGATCAAGCTGCTCGAAAGCATCAAAAAAAATTATTCAGGGCCAACGATAGACATCACATGCAAAGCATCCCTTATTTTCCATGATTTTCAATGTTTTTTCCCATCTTTTCATTGCTTTGTCCATGGCCTTCATTAACTTTTCCATAGTTTGCATTGATTTTCCAAGGTTTTCATCACATTCTCTATGTTTTTCATTGATTTTCCATGGTTTTCATTGATTGCTCCATGGTTTTCATTGTTTTTTTCCATGGTTTTCATCATTTTTTCCATGTTTTTCATTGATTTTACATGATGTTCAAGGTGCATTTTCGGCACAACATGCATCTTGTTAACATCTAGAATGTAAGTTGACGCAGAACTCTGTTGGCTGTAAAGTTTCACTGGATGACGTCATGTGCTGGTTTAAGACATCTTTCGGTTTTGGTTTAGGGTTTATTTTGGGTTGGTTTAGGGTTCATTTTGCGTTAGTTTAGGGTTTGTTTATGGTTCATCTAAGGTTAGTTCAGGGTCTCTTTAGGGTTGATTTCGGTTCTATTTCAGATTTTTTTCGGGTTAGATTACGATCTATTTAGCGTTTGTTTAGGGACACAAACTGTACATATAAATGCGTATAGTTGCGTAGGTGTAAGTAAACCTAAATAGATTTAAATGAATACATACAAAATACATATATATATATACATATGGGTAGAGTAGTGTGTTTACAAGTGTGCAAACTTGGATTAAGATAAAAAAAAACGGGAGGGGGGCGCCCTCCCCCCAAAGCAGAATGACTATACCTGTTCTCCCGTGAAATGCTGTAGGTTACATATGGTATTCAGGGGTGTCTGGTGCTAGTTTAGGGTCTATTTAAGGTTGGTTGCAGGTTTCCTTAGGGCTGGTTTAGGCTACGTTTAGGGTTTGTTTAGGGTTTATTTAGGGATACAACATGTACATTTAAATAACTATACTTACATGGATGCATTTAATTACACATGAATACCTTGTTGAATTTTCCATGGTTTCAATAATTTTACATGGTTTTCAGGGTGCTTGTTCTGCGCAACATGCATCTTGTGAACATCTAGAATGTAGGTTGAGGCAGAACTGTGTTGGCTGTAAAGGTTCCACTGGATGTTGTCATTGTGCTGGCTTAAGACATCTGTAGGTTTTAGTTTGAAATTTATTTCGGGTTGGTTTAAGGTTCACTTTGGGTTGGTTCAGGGTTTTTTAAAGGTTTATTTAGGGTGAGTTAAGGTCTATTTAGCATTGGTTAAAGGTTTCTGTAGGGTTGGTTTCGGCTCCGTTTAGGATTTATTTAAGGTTCATGTAGGGATACAGCATGTACATGAAAATAACTATAGTTACGTGGGTGTACATAAAACTAAATAGATTCACATGAATATATACAAAATATAGATAGATGTGTGTGTAGAGAAGTGTGTTCACAAGTGTGCAAAGTTGAATTACGATCACAAAAGCGGGAGGGGGGGTTGGGGGGAGGGCGCGGCGCCTCCCCCCAAAGCACAATGACTATACCTATTCTCTCGTGCAAATGCTGTCCGTTGCATATGGTACTCAGGGGTGTCCACGCTGCACAACATACATCTTGTGAGCATATAGAACGTAGGTTGAGGCAGAACAAATCAGTCAAGTAGATATAGTTAGAGAATAAATTTCAACAAGATATATGCCAGAGTTTCGCAAAACACGCCAAATGCGCAAAACGCGCAAAAAACGCCTTCCTTCCTTCCTTCCTTCCTCCCTTCCTTCCTTCCTTCCTTCCCTCCTCCTCCTCCCTTCCTTCCTTCCTTCCCGTCCTTCCCTCTTCTTTTACTTCCTTGCTTCGTCCGTCCGTCCTTACGTCCGTCCGTCCGTCCGTCCGTCCGTCCGTCCGTCCTTCCTTCCTTCCTTCCTTCCTTCCTTCCTTCCTTCCTTCCTTCCTTCCTCCCCTTCCCTTCCCTTCCCTTCCCTTCCCTTCCTTTCCTTTTCTTTCCTTTTCCTTTCCTTCCCTCCTACTAGTTGCTATTGTTGTTAGACCAAATTTTTTTGATCCGGATTTTTTTGATCTTTTCTTGATCCGGTTTTTTTTGTAACCCCTCCCCCCTTTTTTTTGCCATCAATCATGCAGTGCGAAGTCAGAGAACTAAGTGAAACTTAGAATGGGGTGGCGGTGGGCCTTGTGCAGGCCAAGCAACGCAGCTCTTTTAATTTAATCCAAAGGGATAGCAGGGAAGTGGTTCTCTTGCTGCCACCTCAGTAAACATGTCATTTGTTTCCATGCATTGGTAAGCATCTGCCATGAACCTAGCCAATTTGTTCACTGCCTGCTGGTGATCATTTCCATCAGAGAAATATTTTGCTGTGAGGATAGGCAGTAAAGGAATAAAATGCCTGATTTGGGCAGCTAGGCCCTTGAGAGTCGCAGTTTTGTTTGTTTTTTTCTCCTTGTTCAGGACACCAGGGGTCAAGTTGGCCAGCCTGTATTCAACATCTAACTCTTTGTACAGCCCCTTGATTTCCTCCCAGAGCAAAGCCACCCTACCCTTGAAGGCCCTAGCAGGTAGCTGGTCAGCCAGCTCCACAAGGATTTGGCCAGCAATGTCTGCCCCAATGCCTTGGTCAACAGCATGAAGCCAATCTGGCAAGCAGAGGTCGGAAGGGATGAGTTCAGGCCACTCCCAAAAGGGACACAGCTCCTTCCTCATATTCTGCACCCTTTCCACAAATTTGGCCTTGTCCAGGCCAGCCTTTCTGTCATTTGGGCCCCACCTCTTGTAGCTGATGTGCTTAGCTTCACACAGCCAACACATGCCTGATCCAGTGTTCCAAGTGGGAAATTCAACCAGCTGTTCAGCCAGTCCCAGTCACCTCCAATTTCACACAGGATGCCTTTTGCAGGCAAGCTGCCTTGCAGCCTCGCCCTTTTCTTGTCTTGTGGCCCGCAAGGACTGCCGGACTGCCATCATGCCTACATGTAGGGTACCTGCCCTTTTTCAAACATTCCAAAGACCAGAGAAGCACGTCCAAGATTGCTTTCTTGGTTTCATAATTGAAATGGAAGGCTGCTTGGATTACAGTAAAAGGTACCCTGAATTCTTTGTGGTGCTTGTTGGTGGGCATGTTGATGGTGAGGAAGTCTAAGCTCTCTTGCCTCATGGTGCCCTGTACAGGCACACCATCGCATTGGAAGCCAAGAGGCATATGCAGGCCAGACATCCATGATCCCAGTGGGTCTTCAGCACTCAGCCTCTGTGCACCTTGCTGCCTTGTGCAGGCTGGCTTCTTTCCAAAACCCTGGTGTCCACCATATATGTCCCAAGCCACTCATGTGGCAATTGAAATGGATAGTCCACCAAATTTTTTGCATTAGACTAGACTTTTTGTCTTTGATCGGAATCTGGGCCGAATAAAGGCTGGGCCACGTGGTTTTAGGCCAAGCCCTCTTCAGAGTTCTAGCAGCATTCTTCTTTCCCTTTTTGCCTCTGAGCTTCAAACCTTTTGCCCCTGCACTGGCTGCTTTCTCTATGTTTCTCTTTGCTTCAGTGCCTGGCAGCTGGTTGCTGCTGTGCAGATGCAAAGCAAAGTGGGCCCAATCATCAGACTCTGACTCAGCAGCTTTCCTCTTGGAAGAAGAAGCTTTTCCAGCCAAGGCCTTGTTCAGACCACCCAGGCACAAGGCCAGAAACAAAGGCCATGTGCTAGCTAGCATGTATGCCAAGCAGAAATGGAAGAAACTCTAGGAGCTGTTAAGCCAAAACTTTGCAGGAGGAAGCTGTGACATCAATACAGCAAGGTGGAGGCGGATCAACACAGCAAGGGGGAGGTGGCCTTAGAAACTTCACCACCCAGCAGCCAAGACTTTTTCCAAGCAGCAAAAGCTGCTCCACAGTACACTGCAAATCTTTCGGCTGCAGGTGCCAGAAGCTGTGAAAAGAGACAGCAGCTATGTGCCTTGTGCAGGCAACCACCCAAGCACCAAAGAGGGGCTGTTGCTTCAAGCCTCCTGCTCCAAGAAATTCTTGTGTGCAGAGAGCTCCTTCTTCCAGGCTTTGAGGAAGGTAGCCATGTTGTTAGCCAGGGCAGACAAGCCATCCTGCTTCTCTTCCGCTTCAGCCTCATCCTTGCAAGTCTTGGGAAAGGACAAGTGCTCAGTGAGGAACTTTTTTTCTCCTCCTCCAAGCACTGCTTCTGGGCTTGGACCTGCTTCTGCAGGAAAGGTTTCATCTCACTGGCGTCAGGCAAAGCAGCTATTTTCCCCAGCAAGGTGTCGCAGTTGTGCAACTCAGCTGCCATGCTGCCAAGACTGCTTTTGCACTTCTTCTGGTTGTCTTTGTAGGCCTGCGTCCAATTCACTTCGAGATTCAGTTCAGTAGCCTTTTGCAGGCTAGACTCCCTGTCCCCTATTTGCTTCTGCTGCTTAGAGCTGGAGCTGCCAATCATCCTTTGCCCTGTGCTGGGATTCATTGCAGCTCGCATGTCTGTGAAGTCCTCTGTGCTGACTTCACCAACCTGCTCCTGGAGTTCCAGACCCTTTCTCTTGAGGGTTTGGGTCTTTGTTTTGGTGGTCTGGTAGTGGTACTGCTTGAGACCCAAAGCAGCCAGGTTTTCATCTTCATAGTCTCTCTCTGGCAAATCCTTCACTGAGGCTCTCACAAGCTCCTTGAAATTTTCAACTCCGGGTTCGATGCCTTTGAACTTGGCCACCTGCTCAGCAGTGAACCAATCATCGATGTTGTCCTCAGTGACAACACTCTCCTGTGTGTCCTTTTTCAGGACAGTCTTCTCAGAGACCTCTGGGTCAAGCAAGTACTTGTCATAAAAGAAAGCCCTCTTCTCTTCATGAGTCCTGCACTGGTTGTAAGCCTTTTGCAGACCATCCCTGCCAGCCCTTGCCAAAGTCTTCAACTTGCTGTGCATCCTTGGGAATGGGGGGGTGCTTCTCAGCTGCAGCCTTGGCAGCTGTGGCTTTGGGGGCAGGTGTAGAAGGTGTGGCTTTGGGGGCAGGTCCAGGAGAGAGGGGTTCTGTCTTGGCACCTTTTGCAGGTGACCTCTTGGGGCTCTGCTTTGGGCTGGCTGCTGGCCTCTTCAAGGTGGAAACCACTGCCATATTGGTGTCGAAGGAAATTGCTATTTGTCTGAGCTATCAATGGCTGCCACCAAAAAAAGGCAAAATCACCAAATAGAAAGTTCAGATTCTGAACTTTTGAAAGTTCAGAATCTGAACTTTTAATTGTTTTTAATTAAAAACCATATTAAACTGAAAAGTTCAGAAAGTTCAGCTCTGAACTTTTGATGGTTCAGTTCTGATTGTCTGGAAGTCCCGGGTGCGTTTTTTGCTGCTTATTTGAAAGGAAATGGCTGCCATGATTTTCTTTGCCTGTGGGCATGTGGTCCTTTTGTTTTGGGTCTGGGCCTTGTGCAGGCCACCTATTCCAGGCCACCTGGTCGCCTGACATCTAGTCTGCAAAGATTCTTTTTTGCAATTATTTTTTTGGACTTCTTTTTGAATTTGTTCAAGTTTTGAAAATATTTATACAGACAGTCTATGTTCAAAAACTGAAACTGTACCTACATGCTGGGTTAAAAACTAATATCTATCTACCTATCTATCTGCCTACCTATCTCCTATCTACCTCTCTCTCTCTATCTTTATATATATATACATATATATATATATATAATACATACATATATATATATGTATATATATATGTATGTATATATATATATATGTGTGTATAAATATATATATCAAATTTCATTTAATGATGTATTCTTCAAATTTATTGTATGCTTTTGTTTTTAATTTACTTATTCATCTCCTTTTTTATTTGCTAATTTATTTTTCTATTTCGAATTTAGTTATTCAATACTTTTTCCACCACAGCTGCGACGGCAGGTTTGGCCACAGCTACTGTTGAGCTGGGCAAGTCAGCAATCTATTGGGCCTTGTGCAGGCCACCCTTCACGGCCAAGAAGAGGTTGGGCAAACCTACAAATCTTCTGGCTTGATGTCTTGGTCTTGGTTGACAACCGAAAAAGAATCCTCTGTGGCAACTTCACTCAAAGTGACCCAGCTCACCTCAGAGCCAGCCATACCTTCTGCAGGCAACCCATCATGGCCCACAGGATAACGACATCAAGCGTTACTCTGGTGGCTCCTGTTGGCTGGAGGCCGAGCATAACATATGGCTCAACAACCCCATCTTCCATCCACGAAAAATTTCCGTGAAGCACCCTGCAGTTTGAAATCTTCATCAAGATCAAGGTGGAGCCCAGGCACTTTCTTGTCAGTAAATTTGACTGCTTGGAGCACCTGGTCACCATCGTCTCGTTGTGTTCCTGCAGTTTCACAATTAGGACACTTGGTCACTTCCTGCGGCCAGGCGATCTCGTCGCGTAGTGGTATAATGCCCGTCTCAGGACCGTGCGAGACAGCTAGCCGCGGATCGATTCCCCCCGGGTACGGGGCCGGAATCGTGACGTCAAGTACCGTAGACCCGCTGAAAGGCAACGGGCTCGGGCCAAAAAAAAAAGATGGTCACTTCCTGCGGCCATTGCGTTGACCTACCCGCTCCACCGATGAAACACGGTGCCACTTTACTAGGCCCAACTGGCAGGGAACCATGCTAGGAGCGCTGATACGACACTGACAAGGTCGATTCCTGCGTTGGGCCGCAAGTGAGGTTGGTTGGTGACTACGACTTGGACCGGGCCGCTTGGGGCGCGATCTCCATTGACGTTTGCACTTTCCGTGGCTGCTCCGATCAGCTCAGAGAATACCGGCCGAAAACAATACAGTACGTGGCGTAAAGAAGGCATTCCGTTTCTGGGGTGGCAAGGTTTCAGCCCGTCGCATTAGCGAGCACAAATACTTCGCTATTTCTCTGCAAGCCGAATAGTGAAGTTTCTGGCAGCAACCTGGAAAACTGCTTCAAGGGTCACAATGCGTCCTCGCAACCACAGTTCTGCTGCAATTATCATAAACAATCTAGCAAACTTGTCTTGTATGGGGGGCAGTCGTGGAGCACCCTTCGGCGAAGGTACCTTAAGCCTCCCTTCGAAGGTACCTTAAGTCTTTGCCGAAGGGGGACGAGGGGGGACAGGGGGGGTGAACGAAGGTATCTTAAGGGGGCTTCGAAGACTTTAAGAGGGCTTCGACGAAGGTACCTAAAGGCGTCCTCGCAAAAGACTTCGAAGGTATCTAAAGCGGGCTTGGACGAAAGCCTCCAAGCCTCCTCAAGGTACTTTAAGGTGGCTTCGAGCGTTGAAGCCTTGGCTGAAGCCTTTGAAGGTACTTTATGGAGACGCGTGATCACACTTCTGATTGTGTCAAGTGTTTGCCAATCTGGTGAGATCGTTGCCCTCGCGGCTTGCACTTTGAGATTCGAGGCTCCTAGCTGGGGGGAGCCTTGGTTTCCGCATTGCTGTGTTGCTTCTCAAGTTCACAGATTGTAGTATGGCTCTTTCGCAGGCAGTCGGTGAGAGGCCCTTCAGGAAGGTACCTCAAGGGGGAGTTTGAGAATTGAATTTGAAGGTCCGTTGAGGAAGGCTTCGAAGCTCCCTTAAGGTGCCTTCGAAGCCTTCCCGAGTATGACTTCTGCAGATTTTTTTTTTCCTCGAGTATGGCCGATGTCGCACTGTGGCTCGGTCCTTACATGAGCATAAGCAGTAAAACGTCAATTTGTACAAGGACCAAAAGGGTCCGGAAATGCAGGCAAATCACAACAAACCAAACAATACACAGACCAGCCAGACGACCCGCAAATCCCCCAGCCAGACTTGCGTTTCGTCAAGAGAAACAGCAAACCAGACACACAAAAGGGGCCGGAGTCCAAACAAAAACACCCACCAAAAAGATTTGCCAAAGGACACAGTGGTTTGACCACTGCATCACTCTCAAAAACATGCGAAAATGAATTAAGAACCACGACATTCAAGAAGACATGGAGGCCTAAACATTTTGCCTGTCTACTTTGGCATAGATGTGCCGAAGCTGTACATGAGCACGGGGCTACAACTGTGCCTCTCTCAGCGTCCTCTCAGATCAGCTTGTCCAGAGGGCCTCCATGGACAGAATCACTATCATATATTCTCCGTGAGCAAGAATGTCGTGGTGGTCACTGTGCCAGGTACCCCAGTGGGGGGGGCGGACGGTAGTGGCGCATAGGACGCTTCGCAAGCCAGTGAAAAACTTCCATACAGCCATCGCAGATCATGTAGTGCAGGGCCCCTAATTTCATAGGGGAGAAATGTAAACCTGCAAAGTAATTGAGCTCAGCCAGTGGTACTCCTCAGCAATAGGCAATGCTCGCAAAGATGAAAAGCATGCAAAAATATCTTCAGTCGTGCAGATAGCATGAAGCCAGACAATGCGATGACTCCACGCTCGGACAGCAAAAGAAAGCCGAAGATTGACATGACTGCAAACAACAGTTTCGCCATACCAACTTTACATTCGGCAACGTAGCTCTAGTTGGTGCAGGTTCGTTAAACGTGCCAACCGCAGAACTGTTCAAGACATTTCAGGATGTCATCGTCCCTGAAAGACCTGCAGTGCATTGCAGTGTGCAAAGTAGACGAATGTAGTGCATCCAAGTCCTTACAACTACTCACCCACAGAGTAGGCAGGCTGCAGAGTCACCAATTCCCATCCACCAACTGACGAACCATGCAGGCAGACTTGTGCTGCTCGCAGGCGCCCCAGGCTGTCCTACAGGGAGCACCACTGGATTGCTCCAGCGAGACTCACTGCAGCGCAGCCCATGGCTTCGGCCGGCTGCCTACCGCCCCTCTCAGATAAACACAACAACGACGTAGAGCCACCGGACAAAGGACACCCAGTAACAAACTCAGATGAAACAAACGAATTCAGGTAGAAACCTCCGGAGGAGGGCAAAGCAAAGGAAGAGGGGCAAAAAACGGGGGCCCCAGGGGGCACCAAAAGATTCCAGTCCTTAGTCACCTTAGTGAACATTGCTGTTTCCTTGCCACTCAAACAATAACAACAATCTACGAAGGCACCCCAAACTAATCAAAAAGCACTCTCGCACCAATCTAAGCTCCATACGACACGCGCCTAAGTGAGGGCAGGGGAGATTGCATGAAGAAACGGAAGGTACCAAAGAGCAACAAACCATTTTTTTGTGGTCGGTGCCAGGTGCCTTTCGGCTGGTCACCACCACCAAAGAGCAACAAACCAAGACACAACCATTTTTTTTTCCTTCTGGTTTGGCCGATTCGCACTAGGCTCGGTCCTTACAATTGCGTAAGCGGTGAAAAGCAGATGTACAAGGACACGTGTGGTCCAAAACATGGCAAATCATCACGAACAAGAAACACAACCAAAAACAACAAAACCACAACCAAAAACGACCCGCAAATCCCCCAGCCAGATTTGCGTTTCGCCAGAAAGCAAAACAGCGAAGCAACAAGGAACGGGGCAGGGCCCAACAAAAACCAAAAAACACATTCAGATTTGCCTTAGATACAGTGACCATAGCCACCGTATCATCCTCAAAAACATGCACACTAATTATCCATTGCAGCAGTGCGTAAATATAGTACATAATCGCCCAGAATGTCTCACCTGAGAGCAGATAAGAGAATCCAGTATTGCAGGCAGACTGATGTGTAGCACGACAGAGGCCACCTGGATGGACGTCATGCCATATAGCAACTCCCGCATCGCTGCTGTTCATCCTGTATTGTTCAGCGTACGCAAATCAATCTGTTCCAGTCAAAATACACCGCCGCAAGGGATTGTGATCTATTTCCCCCCCCCAGGTGGGGAGGAGAGTACAGACGGCCCGCAAGACAAGCCAGATGGTGTTAGCCTCCACAGGAGCCGTCATATAGCAAAGGGCCCACGACCCTACTGGGCAGTGGGTGACAAAGTAGCTGAAAAGCCTGACCGG